GTCTGTAACTAACAATTGATAATATCAAATGCACTCTTGACTTCATCACTGTAGTTATAAATGATGCCACAATGTACATTCAAAAATTATATTTCTTCATAAAACGAATGTGAATATCAAAGAGATTAGAGATTGATCATTGTGATATTAAACATATACTCCTAAGCATATCAAAATTTGCAAATCACAAGAATTCATTTTTCTCTCTTTTTACATGCACATCAATAGTTTCTTCCAGTATCTATACACTTTCAAAAATTAAATATTGTTTTTGACATTTTTTATTTCATGAGAGATAATTCACACTTAAGGAAAGAACAAGATAGCTTTGTAAACATTGTAACATTAAGTATCAAGTAAATAGCTTATTTGAAGTTGAAACATAACTTTGAAGATTAAAATGATTATTCTTTACTTTATATAGATGTTGTTAATAATATATAAAATATCATCCTCATCATCATTTCAATCCTAATGAATTGATAACATGGCGGATAATCCTAAGAAACACATAGATTGTTGATGTGTTGTTATCAACTAACACATTGACTGATACTTTCAATCTTAACCTAACAAGTACTTGAATTGTTGACTTGTCAATGTCAACTAACATACTTATCTTCTACTTACTAAACACACAGAGTGTTGCTTGCGTGACGACTACAGATAATTCATCTAAAGTAATTATAAATTCATCTTGAGTAATATTTATTTTAGTTTTGACTAAAAAAATAATTAAAATTATCATCTATAAAATAAATTTTTGATTTCATCTTAATTGACTGGATATTATATCAAGAAGAATTTTTAAGTTTCACAAATATGCTTTTTAGAACAAAACTATAAAAAAATCTAGATAGAAGAGTATGATCAGAATACTAAATGATTTGAAATTTAATAACTCAATATATAAATCAATCCAAAGATAACATTTTAGTAATAGGATTGATAACATGCATTGATAGTAAAAGTATCATGGAATATTTTGGTTATTAAAAATGATATAAAGATAATATTGATTTATCAAGCTGTAGTACACATATCTAGATCACTGAACAATTATTTATTATATTAGATTTTATCAAAGTTTTAAAAAAAAATTATAATCAATGCAAAAATTGAATATTTTATCTTCATCCTTTGCATACATCTCAACTATATATTTATCTACCATCATAGATGAAAAGATTGAAAACAATGCACACTATGTTACTATAGCAAAATAGTGTTATGTATCTCATCTCGTTTATTATTATGATATCATAATTTCACATAAATATACTTTAAACTTTCACACACTCAACATCATATATTTTAATAATCTCATCCATGTTATACATGATCATCCTATAAATTTTTTTCAAACATTATTAGAATACAAATTTATAATGCTCAACAAGGAAAATTAAAAATAACATATAAAATATGAAAAAAATTTATATTTCTAAAGATCTAAATGAACGTATTGTAAATTTAAGATGAGAAGATAATTATCTATATTTTAACACCATGAATTGCAAGGCTACATGGAAAATTGAATTTTGGCTCCTAAATTGAGCATGTATTTTATCATTGCATATTTAAATTGTATATGCCAAAATTATTTACATGCACAAAGAATCAAAGATACAATATTTATTAGTATTTCTGAGTACAATCACATAAATTTTCATTAATTAATCTATCATTTCAGATTCATGTGAACCTTTGCACTTACATTTAATTAAGACTATCAAATGATGAGTATATAATTTCAGAATGTATCATTCATTATAATTAATTTAATCTGTAAGCCAAATCTGTAAATATAGTTTGAAAATCACGTTATTCATATTAAAAAAAATCTATATATATGTGATCATAGTTCTTCTACTTTTTTTTTCAATCTATCATACTCCAAGAAACATAAAACACATTTAACAAATGAAGAAAAAAGCAAAAATTCACCCAAAAAAATAATTTAGAAAATATCTTCAGTATTTAAATTGATGTTATAAAAAATATAATCACTAAAGTGGCCAAAACTCAAGATTATTCATCTATGGATAAAACAATTTGTAAGTTTCAAAAAAAAAAAATTTAAATAAAATAGCCAAATACAAAGTAAGTAGGAGTTATGCATCACTCAAAAGTGTTTATTAAGCTCTAAAATCAAACACACAACCTTAATTACAAACAATCAATTTTTTAACTTTTGTTCTATGACCAATATAAATGATGGGATACAATACCTTGCACAAAATTTTAAATTTTCAAGTTATATATATGTATATATACTTAACATCTTAAATCTAATATAACATATAGATTGTTATGCAGATAAAAAAAAAAGCTAATTTTTACGTGAAAGTAAAGTTCAATTCTCCAATTATCTTTAAATTACATCAAATATTCTCATGAAATACTTAAAATTAGATATAAAACCTATGTGAACAAAATAATCAAGTCTCAAATAGATACTAAAGAAAATCTGACTTTGATGTTAATCAAAAAACCTTAATAATTAGTATAGCCAAAACAATATACTTGAACCTTTAAATATCTATGTGATAAGCTACTCACATGCATATCTTGTATGATGTAATAATCATCTTTGAGCATTCATTTCACTTGAATCTTTATATTCGATGGAAGAAAAAATTAATGAAAAAAAGAGATGATGATACATCATGTTTAGTATATCATACATCATAAACTATGTGATATAATGTAAAAAAGTTAATTTATATATGGCATAATTGAAGCAAAAAATTCCTTCAATAATCCATCATATATCTCACTTCACATGCATAATGACGTTTGTTATCACACGTTTATAATTAAAATATCATAATGACTAAATACATTCAACTTTGAATTTTCTATCTATCTGTGCATATGAACAAACTAATAAAATAGATTTTCAATCTATATATCCACCAAAAAATTTTGACTCAAAATCTAACAAATATGAAAATTATTTTTATCAATTTTTCTAAAAATGATATTTGTCAAGTTAGCAAAATAATAAAAATAAAATAAAATTGATCAATTTGTGTACACAAAATATGATCTCTATACTTTTATTCATAATAAAGATCGAACTATTTTTTGCCCAGTGATTACATATTTCAATGTTTCATTTGCTTCACATTATATATCTGATTGTAAGTTAAGACTTATAGCTACAATCCACTTGCTACCTGCTTGAAAATCTATGCATTCTTCAAAGATGTATACACTTGACATGCATTTTTTCAAATACAAGATAAATCTATATAGCTCATTAGTTTGAATTTACATGGCGTATGAGATCAATGTTACTGTTTAACAAAAAATATAAGAAAATCAACATCTAAAAGTTTCACAACTCACGTTATTATATGAAAACTCAATTTTGAAATTATTTTTTGCAATCTCATGCATGTTATAATGATGAGATTAAATGAAAAAGTTTAGAAAATATGCTTATAATAAAAATATTTACATGTGGTATTTGAAATATGAACATTCATTTTGAAGAAAAATGACGTTATATATACCTTCTTGTTGAGACTTAATCAAATGATAAAATACATAGAAAAAACGAATTAGAGTATTTGACTTACAAGTATATCATTAGGAAACATACAGTTTTTTTTCAAATAAATTGCTGGATGTCATGAATATTAATTCACAATATAATTTTACTCCACAATATTCACATTGAGACTCTTTGACTTTCTGTTAATTTTTGATTTTCTAGAACTCTCATAAAGTGTGATTTAAATTCACATTAATATGATTGAATGTCATGCTTAAGATTCAGATTTTTTTTCATTAATAAAGTTTGATATTAGATTTTATATAAAATCATACATAAAATTAATATATATAAAAGATGAATCTATAAAAAAAAATGGAAATTTGAATACTACTGCTTCTGCAAAGATATCGTACAAATATAATATTCATCAAATTGACTTAAAATTTCTTGGATTATGTTAAAAGAAAACTTAACAAAATTGACCTCTGCACCAGAAAGCCTTTTCTATTTGTTACTCAATTGCATCTGTTTGGTTTGCCTTGATGAAAATTTCCCTTTTAAATTTGATTATTGCTCTCATTTTGTAATTTTAAAGCCATGATGATTGATAAACTTTTTTGACAAATAATAGATTTTTGGTTCACTTCGAATTTTTGGTTTGTTGAAGGTAAAATTCAGCTCTATGACACCAAGTAAAGTTTTATAAGATATATAAACGCAATTCTCGAATCATAACAGTTTTCAATGTTCTACATCATTTGAAAACTGCTCATCAGAAATCATGTTCATGACAACTTTTTTCCATATATGTAGAGGGTGTGTTTAAGATCTAATACTATATATATATTCATTATATATATTCATTCATTACATCAAAGTCTTATAATGCATATCACATTGCCAAGATACTGTGTTTCGACAGAATCGAATGAATATTTTTGTACCAGACACAGTTGGCAAATCATATATTTAAACCTACTAACTAGTTAGAAGTAAAACTCTCATGTCCTAGACACACAAGGTACATTCACAAAAAAAGATTAAACATAATTTCAAATGACACACGGGTGAAAAGTAAATGAGAATTTCGGGTACTCCGAATAAAGTCAATATGAGTACATATTTCTTATGACACAATTGAGAACTTTGGTTGCTGATTTTACAATTATTATCTAGAATAACATTTACTTTTAACAATGTCCTGGTTCAAGATAAATCACAATCATTTATGGAACATTGAACGAAATAGGCTTACTTCACATTACTAATAGAATATATAACAATACACAGGTAATGTATTTCCATACTTATTAGTTATTTTGCAAATACTAGAAACTGGTTATTCAGCAACGTTGGTCTTTTTCTTCAGCAGCCAATGAATTAAATAAAGCGTCGGGTTTATTCCCGGTCATGATAACGGCATCACGAATGAGAAAATGAAGGCGGAAATGCAATTTCAAACACGGAAAACGCGTGAAAGCCACGTTCGTCCGCTGAAGCTGTTGCCGTTCGGAGTTGCCATTCTCTCTGGCCGGCTGGCTCCGTTTGACTGGCACGGAGAGAAGGCACATTTTCCATTTCTCTTCGGCGCTTGATTACAGAACGAGTGACGGGTTGCTGTCTGATTGCCGAACTGCTGGACTGTCGAAGGAATCACCGTTTCGATCTGGAATTTGGAACTCATGATGTCGTTAGATTTTCAGAACAAGTAATTTTTGGAGTTTTTCACGGAGTTCAGCGGGGTGTCTGCTGAAACGCACGAGAAGGTGAAGCAGGCCGAGGATTTGTTTGGCTTAGGATTGGGCCTCGTGAGCACACGGATTTGATCGAGAGCAGATCGAACTGATTGCTTTGTGAGACTTGGAAGACATTGTCTTGGGGACCAGCTGGCGAGATATGGGATGGCAGATCCTTGCTGCAAGTGGTTGTCAGTCCTAGTTTTTGTCTGCTTGTTGTTTACAAGAGTTACTTCTGCTACCCATTTGGATTCATCGGAGGAATCTGTTCATCTATGGGAGCTACCTGTTTCAGAAACGAAATGCGATTCTGTGACTCCGGTGAGTTTGAATTTGTTGTTCTTAGGGTTAGAGAGAATATGAATGAATGAGAATTTTGTTGCCTGCTTCAGATTTGAATTGTGGTTCCATCGCCACAACCTTTGGCGTGAGATTCATGGATTATTGCAGCTAAATCATAACCTAACATGTCGTAATTTGCTCAATTCTCTTGCCGTTTGTGACATGACTGCGCGTCGTTCCTTTCGACTCTCCTGTTTCCCTCATAGCATACTCCCATAACCGGGGTACTTCTGCTTTTGATGATTGACAGCATGAGCGTTGCTTGAAACTAATGATGAACTCCCGTCTTATTCAGGTTTGCGGCGAAAATGGTGTAAGATTTGAAAGTTCCTGTCATGCTATAGCTGCTGGAGTAAGAATTGTTGAAGACGGTAAGTGTGGTCTTTTGTACCAGCTTCCTGTCCTATTCCCTCGTGTGATCTGTTCTCATGTCATTGCATTCGTCAACTTCACATGTTTTTCAGTCCACTCTAGTATTGTCATGGTGCCGACATCTTGTTATCTCTTGCAGGTGCTTGCTTGCAAGCAAAAAAGCCAGCATGTAACGTGAAGTGCTTTAGAGCTGATCCAGTTTGTGGAGACGACGGAATCACGTACTGGTGAGTGTCTGCCCTTTTATGATTTGAATCTATGTTCGTTGATAAGCTGATTACGTTTTGAAGGACAATCGTTACCTACATTATGATACCGAATACAGTCAAACGTCCGGTGAATGGTGAATGTCTGATTTACCTAAAGCAGTTGAGTCGTTGTGTAACAACTAAACCGGATAGTATCAATCAGTTGCTAGGTAAAACCTGGAAGTTCATGACCTAAGCATGAATATGAAGTATTACCAGAGTTAGCACCAGTCACTGTGCTGGTTACTCTGCATGCATTAAATGGGAGGTGCACACATAACGTCCGCTGGCTAGTTTTGCTGTGAAACACCAGTTTACTTTTACTTGACCTACTTACATTGAAGAATATCTAACCTACCTCTTTGAAACATTAATCCTTTTATGCGTGTTATGTTATGCCTTGTATAAACTACTGTCAAGTTTCATACGTATTGCTTTAAAGTATTACAAAAGAGGGCAATCATGAAGCATATTTTCCGAGCTTTTTGTCGGGCTCCGGCAGGATCGCTGTACCGAAGACTTGTTATTTGATGCATATAGGAAGAAACCTCGTTGTTCTTTTATGAGATCTTGTGTACATTGCTTGGATCTTTCGATTCTCCATGCATTTGTGTTTTGTGACTTACTATAACTTGTGAACTAATTCATAGTAGGTTACTATGAATCCGATAAAGCCATTGTAAGTGGAAACTCTATGACTTGTGAACTAATTCATAGTAGGTTACTATGAATCCGATAAAGCCATTGTAAGTGGAAATTGTACAACTTCCTAAATTCAACTTGTATATGCTTATACTTATTTGTAGCTTATAAGTTGATGTAGTGTCCGTCTGTGACAGCAATCTGAGCTACTTTTTGGCTGATGTACAGGTGTGGTGTAGCTGAAGCGAAGTGTGCAAATGTTCAAGTTGCCCATACTGGCTTTTGCGATCTCAAAAGTGGCGGTCCTGGAGAGAATGGCAATAGGGCAGCTCAGTCTCTATTTCTCGTGAACTTAGTGTGGCTTGCGCTGGCTGGGTTTTTGGTTATAGCTGGCTTTCCTTAATCCAACCACTCATTTTTTAAAAATTACACATGAATGTATCATTGTAAGTCAGCTGGATCTACATGACGTTTCGATACGTTCCAACCTGACTTTAGAGTTAGAGTAGACTGAACAGACATTATTCAAAATTATTTCCGAATAAACAGTAAGGAATCTTTTCCCATTTTGTCACTGATGTTGAAAGCGTTGTGATGTTGGAAGTTGTCCAATGCTGCTTCCCCTTCAGGAATTTGAATTATCAGATCGATTAAAAAGATGGTTGGACCTCTAGAAAAGTATTTGTACTCATGTTTTGGGTGCTGCAGTGCTAGCGTACTCTCAAGAGTGCGACATGTTTGTCATTGAAGGGTATTCTTGTCTTGTTGTAACCGACATCGAAGGTGAGTATTTTCCTTCGGCGGCCGAACTTTGAGTCTGATTTCAAACCAAAGCTGCAGGAGAAAAATGTAGATACGCTTCAAATACCCAAACAAATGCTTCATTTCTTTGATTGCCCAGTGCTTTGTAGCTTAACTACCACTGTTCTCCTTATACCTCTTCCTTGCTGCATGATGTTTGCTGCATAGTCTCATACCAGAAAAGTTCTGAGTCACTTCTTTCATTCTGTTCTGCGCTTCAACGTCCGAGACCTGGTCCTCGTCAGCCCGATGGACACTCAAGGGGAACTCTCAATTGAAACTGGAGATGTACACTTGTCAAGGCATTCTTCACGGGGGCTGATGAGATATTAGAGCTACCGGGGGCAAGATGATGCGAGCACATTCTCTCAGATGATTTGAAGATTCTGGCTTCCATCTAACATCAGTACAGTTTTATGCGAACATGTCACTTTTTGCTTACGTTAATAGTTCATTTTTAATTTTTTTGGTTAATATCAGCTCGAAATTGGATTTTTCTCGCTATTACTTGTACATGCATGTGGAAGCTCTGCCACATGTGTAAGCTATTATAAATTTTCGTACGGTTCACTGCCGAAACGTATTCACCTCAGGACCCACGAAGCAGGTGACTATATGACAATGAAGTGATTGTCAGTCTGGTACTTTTTTTGACGTTCATTGGTTCCCAGGATTTTCTCATGGGATAGGAGGAAATATAGCGCACTTTGTTTTGACAGTGAGTGCACTGTTTCTTTTAACAATGCGTCATTTCAGTTCTTTATTGCTTGTCAGTCACAACGGATCCATTGATGCCATAGTCAGAGCCTCTGTGGTTGTCCTTGCGTTCTAGGCGCTCGTGGTTGATCACATGTTCTTAAATTTATTCTAGTTTTTCCCCTGCTTGGCTGTCTTTCCTTCTGTTCACCTGTACTTGTTCGCCTGAAGGTGAATTTGATACTCTTGAAGAGGACAAGCAGATATCTGTGCCGAAGTCCGCTTGAGATCTCTTATATGAGGTGCTAATCCAGAGAATCCTGCCAATCCTGAGATAGCTTGCTATGCAACATTGGCTTCGGAGGGGTTACTGTATCGTTAAAATCTAAGGAAGTTTTCTTAGGAAGGTGAGTCCATTTCTAAATGTGCAATGACTTGTTGTAGATTCTGCAGTAATTTTGAGAAACTGTTGTCGCTTGCAAATGTGGAGATTATGTTCTTCTTGCAGAATCGTAGTTCCATTATCTGACGAACGCGTAGATTCGGAGAAATCACGTCCCTACACTTGCATGTATTAACTAACTCGTGCAAACTTTTCACATAGATCACGATCATTTGACAGATGCATGCAAGTGAAGGTGGTTGGTTTTGCAACTTCTACACTTCAATTATGCCTAAGAGGAGATGTGGTGGACCACAAGGTTCCATCTAGGGCCCAGGCTGAACGTACTCCTTCGCCACCCACACCCCCGCCCCCCTTCCTTAAAGTTTGCAAATCAAAGACAAGAAATTTCAGAGAGCAGACATTCTTCGTGCACCTAGCGTCTACAGTAACGAAGTGAACAGAAGATTGGAGAGGCAGCAGCTTGAAGTTGGAGAATGTGAAAAGGAAACGAGTGGAGCGAAGACGAGCACTCCTGAAACGACCGCTAGCACCAGCGGTCGTTTGGTGCCAGCCTGCCAGCTGGCAATACCAGCCGACACAAATTGACCCCAACCTCTAGCGAATTCAAACAATCACGTCGAACACTGTTTGGTTGCTGGAGTACTGTAGGAGCAGTAGCCTTGTACGTTCAGTCGACTTTCCAAAGTTTAATTCTGGAGGTGACAGACAGCGATGTAAGAACCACTGACATGATGATCCTCGTCGAGGCAAATCTCGCCAGTCGGCAGTTGATCGAGCAGTACACGAAAATGTCACATACAGTCCTGTACGATACGGAAGCTGCTGAACGGTTTCTGGACGCTGTCAACCTCGGGGATCTCGGGGACTGGGAGAGACTCGCACACCTCCTAATTCTGCCCTTCCCTTTCCCTCGCGACGTCCATGGAGCTTCTGTTTGTGAACTACTGCTGTAATTTGACTTCTCAAGGGCAGTAGGATCGGGGATGGAGATGGTGCCCGTCCTACTGACAAGCATACGGGTTTAAGGCCATGTGTTTGTACTGTATCTTCCAGGATGTCAAACAGGAAGTCAGACTTCGAAGTATGAGCAGGCCCTGCGAGGGCTGCAATGGGAGCTGTCACGGTTTCTGCCATCCTAACGTCTTGAATGAACTCAGAGGAATTTGCACGTTTTGAGGCCGTGCTTGCTGTTAAGTACGGGTTGGAATCATGTGCAAACTTATGAGTCCAGTGGTCAAAAAAAGTAAGATGCTCAGGATCGGAGTTTGTTGTAGACCATCAGAACAGTTTGGATTTCGATCACTGCTGTGCCACGACTGGACATGAGGATTGGAACTTACAAACTCAGCTGAGATCCACGCAAGGAGCAACTCTTCTGCCAATGCCGTTTGTCAGTGTGCTGTTTGATGATGGTCCATGTCGGCTCAAGTGCAGAGAGAGTACCCATGTCCAGATGAAGTTCTCACTGCGAAGGCCACAGGTCAGCACTTGCTGTGATCGAAGCAACTGTACTCGATCGAAGACTTCTTTCTAGACGTTTCGCCGCAAATGCTCATTGGGCTTGCCCACCTTTTACTTTCGATGCACAGGGTATACAGGGTCTCAGCAGGGAATACAAGTGAGCTCTGTCAAGAGCATTGTTCATCTAAGAGAAATCACAAGGCTTCCTGACAGCTGAAATATCTGGTCTCGTTGATTATAAGAAAGCATGGCGAGGGGATCTACAACAATTGGGTGGAGTATGTTCATGCATGCTTCCCGCCTTAAATCTCAAGCTCATGCAGCGTATTGCTGAAAGAATCCACTCAGATCGTAGATGTTTTAACAACTATAAGAAATCTGCTCTGAATTTCGCAGTACGAGACAATGGCAATCTGGGGATGATCGATTCTTGAGAACATTCTTGGACGGGATATCTTCATACGAAATGCAAACCAATTGAGCAGGATCCGTGGGATTGTTACAAAGGAGTTTTCTTACTTCCGTGTTAACGGTCTCTGCAGTTTTTAAGGCACTGGCCGAGACTATTTAGAAGGGACAGTAGTCAATTATCCAGTGAATGATCATCCGATTTGCAAGCATGGTACTCAAACAATGTTCTGAAGGTAACGTGCGGAGGCACTCGGCGTAACAGAGATTTATCTCCGTCCTCGATGTCAGGACAAATGATCAGATCCATTCACGTCGTAGTGAACTAGAATCGACAAAACGAGAACGCACATACGGTGCACAAGACGTTTGCCATATCTATCAAAGTGCAATGCGTCCGTTTCTAGAGTCGTTCTTGACTGTCGTCTTGTGTAAACCTATTAATTGGGCAGCCTTTCTGCCGGTGATGTGGCTCATCAGCACCAGGCAGTGACTTCTGTTTAAACTTGATCGTTCTGTAACACACAGTCAGAACTTTTATTCGGTGCATCAGCCTTTGAGGGAAGATAGTAAACATACCCTCGCAGCGACTTATGCAGCAGCATGTCTGGCTTACTGTATTACTAGTAACTGAATGACCGTCTGTCGATCATTATGCGAGATGTCGAATCACTAGTTTATAAAGAATGTGCCTTGATACAATGTGGCCAAAAAATCTACATTTTTACCGTCCATACACAACCTCCTCCTCTTTATTCTGATGCATTTTGCTCATCGCTCTAGTAGAGTTCCTGAGGACCGAGACTTCCCCTGTCTATTCTACTCTGAGGTCAATCATCCATCATATTGTTAACCATGTTTTCCTCTCGGACTGGTGCTGTTCTGTCGTAGTTCTGGAGACAGGTTAAGAAGCTCAGTTTGATGCAGAATAATGATCTTCGTTGCATGGTGCCGGTACCACCAGTGGAAGGAGCAGAACCTCGTGCATCAGTGTTCTTTCAGGAAGAGGCGACGCAAGGAGTGAGGAGCGCGGAGGAATGAATGCCTGTCTCGATTGGGATCGACCTGTGAGCGGTGAATACAGAATGCAACTGCAAGGCACATACTCAGCCTCCGTCGAATACCTGGCGTAAAATCTGATGAAAGGAGTACAGTATGAATCCTGCTAAATTGGTCGACTGAAACTTTGAGCTTCTCCTGCACATATATATGTCATCACATTACATGTGTCGTAATACAGAAGGCAAGGTTACCACAAGCCTCGTCTGAAGTTTGGTCAAGTTAATCTGACATTCCATCTAATCAACAACAAATGCCTTTGGTAGAGCTAAAGTCTAAAGTCCAGGTACTACGTCTCCCCATTATTGGTATACTAAACACTGTAACGGTAGGACCGGCTTGACTACTAATTGAGAAAAAGAACACCTACAGCGATGTTGCTGCTAGTCAATGCATTGATGGCGTATGTCATACTCTCGGAGAATAAGAAGATATCTACAATTTTCAAGCCTGAAACATTAGTAGTATAGTAATACCAATGATGTTTAGATTGTGACATGACAGACAGTTACGCTCATTGTCTTTCCAATTGTACAATCACTACCCTCTCCCTCTAATACTTAAGATTTAGAATCATGTGAAGAAGAGAAAAATTCAAAATGATTACTAGATTCTGTTGAAATTAACATTGATCACCAACATGAAATTCGTAACAATGAAGATCAATATCCACTTGTCATGAGGTTCCAAAACACAAAGAATATATATGCTTAAAATAGCCATTGTTTCAAATGTCATGATCAATACTCTACCTTTGAGTACACACATATACAAATAACATGTCTTTCTAAATCGAAAACTCTCGTCCACTCCACGAATGATTGCGTATATGTCTGGATTTGTACCGTTATAAAACAAACGTACGGAAAAATTGATGCTAGAAATGCTTGACGGTATAATTGATAATCTACTAACATTCATAACCATCCATTATTATTTCATCTAATTTTTCTTTGAGCCATGTTTGCTTTGTCTTCTTTTCATCCTATATAATATTTTCTAGACCATCAGCTTCAACATCAATTGATATCATGTATCAATATTCAATCAAATAATGCTTAGAGCCTTGATAATGCAACAAGTTTGATGCAGCATCAAATGAGCAAAGTATCAAAGCTAACAACAGATGATGTTTTTTATTTCATTTTCCAAAAATGTCATCAATACATTTGAATGAAAAAATTATTATGATGTCCATATTAATCCATATCAATGATGTCATGTAATCAATGATAACGGTGTTGTGAAATACAACCTTCAACATTGACCATGCTCATAATTGATACAAGTATAATTATGATGTAGTGATATTTGATTACAGTATGCCCAAATACAATCACATATCGAATGAAATAATGTACATGTATAACTGCATATATGAATTACTTTGAATCAAATAATTAGATTTTCTTCTTTATAATGATTATACTTTGATTTCACTGAATATTTAAAACAACACACATATGTTAGTATGTTGAACTATCATTGTTATCTTCAAAGTAAAGTCAAATTTTAAAAACTTGTTTATGTTCATCTCTTCAACACAATCTTCTATCTAGTTTTTTAAACTTCATCAGAGCATTAGGATGTATATAATAAATAAAAACCGAGCAAGATTTGCAATCTATTCACACTAAAGTATCATAAAATGCACAAGATTTACTACATCTTGATTCTTCAAATTTTTTTGGTATATGATATGATTAAAGTAACCTTTCCATTTTGGAAAATATTCACACTATCCACGATGCAACTTGAGACCATGGTCAATTAATAAATCTTATGATCATCAAAATTCTCAAATTAATTTTACAAATTTTGTAATGCTTTAAATTGTCTTATTTTTTCTAGATACATCATGTAAAATCCGTTTTAACATAATAAGTTTGCTCATTTGTCTATCAATCACTACTTGACTTGCAAACGGAACAACTTAAAGTTCAATTTTTTAAGCCAAATGTTAGAAGGACTATGATACAACAGATAGGGGTCATTCAATTTAATCTTTTAAATTTTATCTTAGTTTACGTCTCACTTGATAAATATAAATATTCATAATTCATGATGTATTTATTTTTCTTAAAATCTTGCATGATTAATCACATCAAATTAATTTTCAATATATGCTATCTATCTATATGTTATCTTTCTTAAACCTCGCTGTCAGAAAAAAAGATATAAAATAGTCTCAAGAAGATCTTGAAATCTATTTAGATAAAATTATTTTTCATTACGTCATCTCAATATGTAGGAGGTTAGCTTGATGCATAGATTTTCAAGTGTAATCACAAATCCAGGTTACTTCCAACAGTCTAAATCTTTCAAAATAAAGTCAAAATAATTTCCACAACCTACATCTTAGCTACTTGTTCAATATTCCATATCTAAATAGTGAGTTCAATCAACTTGACCACTTGCATTTATTCCTCTGAAGACTCTCCTTTTTTAAAGATCTTACACGTCTTGTAGTTCTGAGTCCTCATCCCTTCATAAAAAACTTCAAAATAGTATCAAAGGCTGAAAATATAAACTCTTCCTAAGTCAACTTGCTTCAACAGTATTTTCAATGTTATATATGGAGTATAATCTTGCATCATTAATCATCGTATCCAAAGATTGTGATTGGGTTTCTTTTGGCTTATAATTCGATATCAAAGGGCTGCGCTCAAAGTTTCTTTTCGGTTTTTCTCCACCCCCAAATCTAATTAATAAGATTAGAGTAAAATATTCTACTTTAAAACATCAAACTTTGTGGAAACACAAACCATAAAAGAGAAGTTACAGTCAAGCCAAACCCAATCGGTGATTCAAAGACTTCTCATCTCTGCAAGGCTATTCTTGACCACATACACAATCCAAATACTGAGCTTTAAAAATCGCAAATATATATATCCAAATCAAACTCCCTGGATGATCTCAGACCGTGGTCTATTAACTGCGTAGTTAGCGCTAACCATGTGAATAACCGCAACGGTGTCAAAATGATATATATGTCACTGCATTCGCACACCCACCCATAAGCAACAACATTCTTCCCATCGGAATTCTTCATGAAATAGGACATTTGGATACCTTCGTCCCATAGTGTGACCGATGATATTTGAGTAAGCATATTAATTACTATCTTTACCCCATTACCACCCCTCGCCATGAGTTGGAATTAAGCAACATTAAAGGTACAGTGGGAGAAGTACGAGAGGCTTATGAAGAGAATCACCAGTTCTACTCTTTTCCTTTGGCCCTCCTTCTGGGAATGTACTGCCTTCGATTCGTATTCTCGAAGGAAGTTTCCATGCGTTTTAATATTTCTTCATGTGAGACATGCAGTCGAGAAGTGTGCGTGCTGTAAAGGGCATTTTTCATTCCTTGGTGAGAGACGTGTGGTTGAAAACTGTGCATCCTGCTCATGGCATGGCACTGTGCTGCTCAAGGAAAACAGCAGAAGACTGTTCTGCATGGTTCTCGTGACTTGGACGTACGAATAGACCTTTGATCGACGTCTGGTGTGGTATGCCGGCATTCAGAGGAATGATGGACTAATCATTATTTGAATCGTTTATTCTTTGTTCCTTACAATCCAATTTGTTGCGTTTCAGCAGAAGCGAAGCTGTGGAAGATGCCGAGTGTGTGCCGTGGAGAATGCCATATGCTCCCGAGCACCGTCGGGCTTCAGTATGATGACGAAGAACTCCGCGGAACAAGTGAAAAGTAAGTATTGGTTAATTCTGTCACAAAACAAGACACTTGCTTCCGGTGATCCATTTGATGACTTGCATGTCACCAGTTGTCTGTTATTGTAATCACTGCAATAATTTCTGCATCTGCTGAACACAAATTCAGCAATTGGAAAATTGGGGATAAGTGCAAAGCAGAAGAGAAGAAAAGCTGAATGAAGTTGTAGCTCATTAAACAGCTTGCCATTGGCCATGTGACATCCGAAGCAAAAGAAGAATTATCCGAACCCGCGCAAAAGAAGCAAAATCTGTCATGTCAGGCCATGTCCGTGCCATTCAAACGATCCGATCCGATTAAAAGAACTGTCCAACTGACAACCATAACTGTTCAAGCTCCTGAAGATGCCTGCCTGGCCGTGATATATAAACTTGGAACGGTCGTGGTGTGTCGACGACACCATATCGAGAGCGGTCTGCATCAGATTCTCAAGAGGGAAAGGACACTTTGTGGCTGGGCTCTGGGGCACGTCACGTTGTGAAATTTGTTGTCAGTGATTCTTCTTCCTCTTGAAATTGCCTCTGACGACTTGCATATGGCATATGCAGGTGCAATGAACCGTTGCATCTCGATGGCATATGGATAGGATCAAGCGAATGTAGAAGTATGTAGTGGTGAGAATATGGCAATTGTTCTCTTTCACTCTCTCTCGCTCGCTCGCTCGAACGATGGCTGTAGACAGTAGTCAGTCGGGGGAAGAACAAAGTGGGGAATGATGTACACTGCCTGGCCCCACCCTCATTTGGTTCTGAAAGTGCGGTTCAGCGTCCTTTAATAATTATTCCCACGGGGAGTTGAACTTGTGAAAGTACGTCACTCTGGACTCTGGACCGTGAATCGATGAGAACAAGGCAACTGGATGGAGGCTGGAATCTGGATGGGATGGGTGGGCTTTCTGACTCGATGATCTTGCCACTACTCTTCTTTGAAAGGTTCGAGACAATATGTGAGAACAAGATCTTGGTTCCCATGATGACCAGCCTCTTTTTAAGCCAAAAGGTCATACTTATTCTCTTGTCTATACAAGGGGCCGAATGTGACCTGCGTACTGTACTTCCGAAGAATTCCTAGACGACCTTCTCACGGTTGACTTGCTAAAAGACAAGCACGGGCACGGGCACAAGCTCGCCACCTTACTTCCTTCCTTCCTTCCTCCGTGCGCCGTCCGACTTTTGTTCGACCGGCCCCAATGCCCACCATTCGTCCCGCAGTTGTTGGTTGGCTGGCTGGTTGGTCGATTGGTTGGCTGGTTCAGCTCGCTGAGCCTTGTTCTTTTCGCGAATTCTTACCTCTAGCTCAAGCCATAGCTTTGCGAACTTCTTGAGCATGACGAGCATGGTGAAGGTGAATCTGCTGCGGGTCTTGCCTGTGCCCATGACTGTGTCCAAACACTGGAAGTTAAAATTCGGCTTGGTTCTGTAGCAGACACTGAGCCTGTTGTCTGCTGCTGCTGCTGCTCCCCTTGTTCTACTTCTTCTTATTCCTCTTATTCTTCTTCCTCCTCCTCCTCCGGGTGCTTCTTCTTGCAGAGCATGTGAACTTCCTGCTCGTTGCCCATTTTGCCTCTAGTGGTCACAAAATTTTGGGATCGTGTGGTCTCTGTTGTCATCTCATGTGCTCCGCGAGTGGATGCACAAGCGTCCGTCTAATCATTAAAGTTCTATCAGACAGACGCGATAAATGATGTCGCAGATCTTAGAAAGCCCGTCAATACCTACAGTGAATCAAAAGGCGTGCAACCGGAGCTGATCACGAGCTGCTTAGACAATGCACATCATGCATCTCTCACCGACTCGGTCTCTCTATGAATGAACGACTGTCCATCAAGGCAACTTCTTCTAGCCTTGCCTCGTGGGCTCAATTAGTCAAGTCCAGTAGTTCCCCAATGCCTTGTAATCATGAGCTACTGCAGGATGAGTTCCTGGTCGAAGGCTTTTATAATAATCATCAACTGGAATCCTGCTCGGAAATCGCAGCTGCAGAGTTTGTGTCAACCATTGCTAGATTCGACTGTGATGGAGGCGAGGGAATGGGATGCATGAGTGGTCAGAAAGATGGAGGGTAGTCAGTCAGGAGTACAAAGGTCGACAAAAGTGCGGGTCACGTTCATGGTAGAAGACGAGCCGAGCCGAGCCGATTGGCTTGCAGTGTCGGCGATCACATCGTGCCTGCGCTGCTGGAGGTTTCAAACCTCAAAGCTGGCTCTGAATTGCTCGGAGTCAATGTGTCGAGGTTGGTCCACAGATGCTTTGTTGCAAGTCAACCTCGAGGACATGCTGGTAGGTTTTGTAGCGTCCTGGTGCGCCGACTGTTCGATGGTGTTGCTGTTGACCAGGATAGAGGGAGGAAGAATGGAGGGAGGGATGGAGGGAGGTGCTCACCTTGTCCTGCGAACAAGCCTAGAGATAGATATGCGCTCGGGATAAGTAAGAAGTTCGCCGGTCGAGTAGTAGCCCAGTGACTCCGAGTGACGCAATTGCAGTCTGTATTCTGTCGACGCTGTGGATTCTCGGAATCCTCGAGCACCAAAAGCTTTTGAATGCGCCATAGTCATCCTCGTTATCCGCCCATGTCTCCTGGATTTGTCTGTCCAACCACCCTCTCTGGCCTGGGCTTCTCTAGATCTGCGCTTACTTGTTCAGGACAAAGATGACGGTCACCTGGGAATCCGTTTCGGAATTGATAACTTTTATTCCATCACCTTTTAGGTGGCCCCGAGCCGAACTTGTGGATTCCGCAATGTCACCATCTCCATCTCTGAAGTCACCTCGCCGAATTCATGGGCAATTGTTGTTCCAGGTTAACAAAGTTTATCCTCCCGGTGGTGCCCACTCTCGTAACCTTCGCGCTCAACCGAATTTGTTCGTTTCGTACCCCGTTTCCGAGGGAGGACTAACTCCATGTCTCTTCTCTCAGCCTGAACGAGACTCTTCCATTGATCATGCTAAAAGCTGGGGATTAGGCTAAGTGGCATTAGAGTCCGACCACCCAATTGGTCGATTAGTGAATTCTACGAGATCTGTGCCATCTTTGACGGCTGTATGAGAGAGACGGAGATAGTGCACTCGAGGGAGTGTATTCGACGGACCTCTCTCGCATCCGAAGCAAAGACCCAATCACGATGCTCTACGGGTGGGCCTACGATCGACAGCAGTCACAAATTGCCCAAATTTCCTCTCTTTGTCTCCCTTCCTGTACTAGTGCTCTGCATCGGTGAGACGCATTCATCCATCCAAGTGGAACTATTCTCCTGTTCTTTATTTCCTTCGACTCCTCTGCCGGGTACAGGACTTGTGCTCTTCCATATCCCAAGACCTCCCGATCCGATCAAACTTCAAAGTAGTGGTGAGCATTGCAGTTGAGAAATGTTCCCACCGTCGGATGTGCTGATCGAAAACCAGCACAGGTCGACTTCTTTGCGATTCATGTCGCACAGAAATGGAGAACAGCAGCAACCATAAATGATTCTTCGTCAGAGAGCCGAGGCCTGGAGGAGAAGAGAGACAAGTCTATGAGCTACCATCGTACTACGGACTGGAATACATCCACAGTCAATTACGGTGTCCAAATCCGTACAGTGTGTTGACATTTGCATCAACTTTTATCACTTTTATCGGAAGAATACTGGCCAGAGTAGAGCACGATGAGCCGCTCCTTCCATCCACCCCCAAGAATCCAAACAACCCATCGAACTCCACATAGTGCAACAAACCTCTGGGCATGAGACGAGAGAACTTTAGACTACTACGGTCAAAGTGATGCACTGGAGATCACGGATGACCAGGTTCCCTGAATTCTCTTTGTTGACTGTCTCGAGGATCGCTGTTGTGGCTTACGAGGAGACGCGGGCTCCTGAGACTAGGGGAGCACTGCAAATCTTTGCCTGCCTGTTCCACTGTGATTACCAGGATTGGGGAGTCTTGAGCCCTGCTCGCTTGAAATTACTCAACGACTTGCAGTAAAGTTTCCATTCTTGCAGAATGGTGTGCATGACGAGTACAACCACTGTACGGTTAGTTCCTGTGTTTGGCCAAGAGCGAAGAAATTGTAGAAAATTCTCGGCAAGCCAGAGCCGCAGGCCTGGCCAACAAGAAACTTGCATTCTGAGCTTCTTTACTTCTGCTCACGTACACAGAACGTACGGTTGGTGCGATTTGGCCCTCCTCATTGTGCGCACACTTGCCACCTCCACCATTCATTCATGTATAGCCAATTCGACGTCGTTGTGTCCAGCGTTCTGGCCTTGCCGCGGCTGGCTCTGTGTCAGATTCGAGAAGTTGTTTGCTGTGGGATTTCCAACATTCTTCAAAGCTAAGCTTCCTTGCACACCACAAAACATGACCGCACTGCTGCATCGTCCGCAGGTAAACAATTGCTGGAATTCGTTCCGGCTGTAGCCTAATGAGGAAAACATTTTCCTCCGTTCCAGGCCCAACCAAACGAGTCCATGAGGCATGAGCTTTGCTCATGCTGACGACCATCTCTCAGTATCTCAGTACGGTGATACGGGAAGAATTGGACACCGCAAGCCGGGCGAGCCCGGGTCGGCTCCTGTCGAGGACTGAGATGGACAGATGGACTCTTGTTTCAAGCGCACACAAACAGCCTGGCGCCACAGTTTCCCAAACGTACAGCACTTCAATCCTCATCGGGGATTGCCTGATTAAAATGTTGATCCCTGTACACTCCATGTCCTTGACTCAGTCACACGACAAACGGAGCCAACGGAGCATGCGAATTATTAGAAGGAAAAATCTCTAGCCATACAGATCCTCATGAGCCTAGCTTCCTATCCTCCTCCTTGACCGTAGTCAGGTCGCAAGCTGAGTTAGCTCTTTGTTTGCCATGAAAAACTTGAAACTTCAACGATGAAGACTTCTACAAAGAAGATGTAACGTCAGTAAGTAGCATGTGAGTTTTACTTGAATGCCATCCATCCGATTGAATGGTGAATGCTACTGAATGCTACTGTGAAGCTAGTAAGGACACAGATGAAGTCGTCCTGCTGAACTGTAGTCCTCACGAACATGGTAACAACAAGATCAGTGTTCTCATCGACTTTGACTGAATCGGCACGTTCATCCATATTGACTTGGCCGGTCGTGACCTTCCACCCTTCCTGTTTGGTTCTCCATCTTGGCACCTACTTCGAATATGAAAACCAATTAAGTTCTTCTCTTCTCTCTAAAGCCTGCTAGTCGTGGCAGATGTAGATGAGCGCGAAAGAGGAACTCGAAAAACTACGATCTGAAATCTTTGCACCGCCAATGCGATCTTTATGTACAATGATCAACATGCAAGTACCTGATAATCTCCACAGCCCACTCAGCCCATTCGGCTGACAGGTCCTCCGTTTGCACAGAGCTCAGGATTTCTTCTGGCATACCATCCGTTGCAATATATCCCAGATTTGATTGCTCAGCAAAAACTTATGTTATGCTCTCTGTGTAATGCGACCCATGTAATCTACAGTTTCTTGGTTAGCAGCTGACGAGGAATTATATTTTCTACAGCTACGCTGGACAGGGTCCCATGTGACCATCCACATGTTTCAGCAAGATACGGTTCACATTACAAGACTTATCTGCTAAGGTCATGACATTCTGTGCCCGCGAGCTCTTGGCATGATACTCATAAAATATCCCATTCGAAAACTGTTCAGTTAAAAGCTGACAGTGTTTGGAAATCTTCTTGCGCCTCGTCAGGTGACATCAAATATACAGTCGATCCCGTTTAGCCGACAAGCATTTGTATTTCCTATTGACATCTGAAACACAGTAGTTTTTGTTTCAACTTTCCAGAGTATACAAAGCTATTACTGTATACAAGTCTTGAACCTGGTCCACAGCTCTAGCAAGAAAACGAAGTGTTGATAGGGAGCTTTGAGCTGCGTGCGTCTTTCCTTTTCGTCTTCTAAGAATACGTTGCTTATATCAGAAGCTGGCACAACTGACACCAACTGCTTTGTATTGCGTTACTCAAAAGAGTCTTCATGGAACCCCAAATATGTACAAACGCTCAATCTATCCTAACCAGGTTCTCATCGCTACAGTGTTTGAGCTGCTGCACAAAAAAAATCCCGGAGTGAGGAAAACATCTGAAGTAATCACGTACTTTAATTAAGTCTGCAACGACGAAGAGCGACACGTTCCAGGATGAACTGAAATGGATGCTTGAAAGGCATTTCCTCTTTTCTGGAGTTGGCACCATAGTCAATAACTTTGTGAAAACTCATCTCTCGCCATTCTTCTTCATGTAAAAGGTGGAAACGAACGCAAGTTCGAAGAAACCCCCTGAGGCTTGCATATTCGGTGGATGCCCGGGTTTCGTGATCTTCCTTGAAGAGGGGGATTGAAAAGGTCAGCACTGAATGGAAGAATGAGTTCTCGTGCATTGCAGTCACTCCTGCCAATTTTGTAGTCTCCTGAAAGTGTTTGGAAAAACGATGTATATTAGTTGGCACTGTTTCGCCCCAAACCAGTTCCAGACCGACCTTGACAAAGCCGTAGGAAAGTTTTCGTCCTGGAAAGGATGTGAGGTCATCGATCTAAGAAGAGAAGAGGTGCGACCAGCTTTGCTCCAGCATAAGCTGGAAACTGCCGGCAGTATGGAGATACTGGACAAACCGACATCTCAATTCTTCGTAGAGTAGTGAAACTTTTCAGCTTAGCATTTGTTCTACATAAGCATAACCTTGTGTCTGCAGCAGCATACACATCGAACTCAAGCTTCCTATCTGGCGCACCTAGAACAAGCCTGCTATCACATACTGAGCGTCAGGAGTGTACTGCTGCTGCTTCAAACATCTCCACATCAACTTCATAAATAACATTCATAACATGGTGAAGACAGATATATGGATGAGAACACCATAGAACGTGAAAATACTGCAGCCATCAGTCGGAGATCTGCGTGATTTGAATTTCTTTTCTCGATATTAGGCTTTGCAACGAAAGCACATCACGGCAGATTGCACATTCACGAAGGCAATCTCAAACTGGAGCTAAGGCAAGTATCTACAACTTCGAAATGCACGAGTACCTGTAGAAAAAAAATTGACGGCATTACGGAGAAGTATCAAAATGAGCCGTCTCCTTTTTGGCCGTCAATTTTGTGAACAGCAAAGCATGGCTATTTGTGACTTGCACTACACCATCTGTGTGGAACTCCAGCGTACAAGATCGACTGTCCAGGACTGGTCAACGACTCGAATATGCTATAAGGCCGACGTGGAAGACTCCTCGCGCACGAAGAGTGGAGAAGAAATCGAGCCATGTCCGACAGAGCAGACAGTCAATGAGTTGTTGATTTCGTCAAAAAAGGTGATTGAATGTCCTTCGGGGGTGCGAAATGATACACAACGAGTGGGGCAGAATTGACTGAGCTTGTGCCACGCTTAACAAAACTCGTTAATTTTGACTAGCAGGCAAGATTTGTTCAGAGATACCGATCCTGGTCGTGTGTCTACAGGACAATGTCTAGCCTGGGCTGCCACAAGAAACTACAGCCTGTGCAACGCAAGTGGTCCACACACGCGACTGACCACCACTGGGACGTAACTATATTGTGCAGCACCAGCGTTTTGGAGTTGTTTAGCCCAAAACCTACAAAATCTCCTTCTGCATCAATTTGAAACAGAGCCTGGGAACTATCCAGCTCCGAAGCGAGATAGTCTGGCATCGAGGCGACCTTCTCCCAGCTCTCGAGAAAGCGGTCGAACCTCCACAAATCCACGACCGGATGGGGCGAGTTCTTAATCCATGTTCCATTCCCGAGCATCAGGGACCCTCGATGGTGGAAAATATATTTGATCACGAGGCCGTCGTTATGATCTTGAGGCAGAGGAATTTCAATCAGCTCGCATCCGCCGACTTTGAACAAGTGACCAGATGCGGCCAGCAGGTACACATCACCTTCCACGAGCAGGGCACAATGTACCCCTCGTAGGTTTTTGCTGGTGAAGTTGTCGGACACCGCATCCCACGAATGCCTCAGCAGATCGTAAACGAACACCCTCGTGAGCTTACCGTCGCCAAATTGCAATGCCACAACCTTGACGTTCATGGGGTTCTCTTCCACCTTCATCGTCATGGGATGGTGCCAGCCGGCTATCACGAGCTGATCCTCCAATTTGGGCATGGGCGGTAGCCGCCTCTGGGTTCGATTCAGGGGATTGACGAGGAAGTTGATGCTGGGATCACTCCCCCGCATCAGGAAGAGCCCCGAATTCGCAGCCGAGATAATAAAGCGGTCCCAGAGGGCGGAAAAGTCCCGAAAAAAGTGCCACTTTTGGACGTTGAGGTCACCAATTGTAATATTGCCCGAGTTGCGCAATATGCAGCACGGTGCACGGGCGCATGGCAGGGGCGTGGACTGAGCTAGAAATTTGGGATCCGAGAGCAGGTTCCTCCACGATCTGCTCACGGCTCGCAGCCGCAGATTGCTCCACCACGGCAGGCACAAGAGAATTTGCGGCAGAATCTCATCCGGCAGCCTCTCCCACACTTTGCAGTCCATAATCTCCTCTTGCTCCTTCACGGTGCGCATCACAGTGGCCATTGGCAATCGCAGAAGGGCAAGAGCAAGAGCAAGAGCAAGCGCAGAAGCGGAAGCTCCGGCAGCTCATATACACTTGAGCCAGTTCACCTCACCCGACCACCACCGCCTCCTCTTGCTCTCGCTTTTCCTCGAGGAGCATACGAGACATCACATCATGCGCTCCCCGCATTCATCATCGTCCCCTCGGCCTCCTCGTGCCCGGCTCCAGAAGCACAAAAGGAACAGTCGATCATTTTCTTTTCGTCCTTCGTCTTCTTCTTCTTCACCTCCTCCCTCGAAGGCAGAGACGACAAACTCGAGCCCTGAGCTAGAACGAAAGCTCCCTCGGCCTCATCTCGTTCACCTCCCCCATCTCCATCCTCCCCACATTCCCTTCTCTCGTCCCGTCGCTCTGCTCGCACACTTTCACTCACTCCTCGTCCTCGCGCTCAACAATCTCTCAACGATTATAGCTGCGAAGACGAGGACGAACTCAGACCTAAGTCCCAGTAGCACCGTAGGGTCAATCCACTGTTGCATGGGAGGGAGCAAACAGCAGATCGTTGAAAATGTTCCAGTCTCCAGCAGTCTCCAGTCTCCAGTCTCCAGTCTCCAGTAGGATTGATTGATTGCTTGATGAGCTCCAGCAGCAGCACCAGCTGCTCCCTCCAGCTCCAGCTCCTCCAGCTCCTCCAGCTCGGGCCCGGCTTTTGCATGGATGGTCGACTGGCGCATGGCTTCATGCATGCCTCCATGCATCCATCCATCCATGCGTGCATGGATGCTCGCTCGCTCGCCCCACCCTCTCGCGCGGTCCTTTCCCGGCGCAGAGCGGACCGGGGACCTCGCCGGTGCTGTGTGCGCTCCCAGCGATCCCGAACCGAGGGAGAATTCCGCCGGTCGGTCTTCCGCCGAACGCCGGGTCTCGCCTCGTTGAGCCGGCGGCGATGATGATGACGACGAACGACGACTCCGAGGGCACGGCAGAGGCAGAGCCGGAGCCGGAGCTTGTGCGTTAGTGGGAGCGGGAGCGGGAGCGGGCTGAAATTAGGGTTCGGCATGACTCGGGTTCTGACCGGACTTCTTGGAGAGAGGGAGGGAGGGAGGGAGGGAGGGAGATTCCGTCCTCGTCCAAGAGAACATTCCAGAATTAGATGAGGGACCCGTCGCGACGCCCGATACGTCAACGCTCGGTTTCGTGCTCGGTCGGTAGAATAATGGGCGACCCGAGCTCGGGGGGAGACGAAGAAGGGGGACGAAGGGCGCTTAGGGCCCGAATCCGGATCCGTGCGCGCACCGACTGACGGGACTCTCGCTCGGCCTCTGGATTGTTTTTTGACTTTCTCACGCGGGAAAGAGGGAATCTCGTCGCACCGGGTGCCGGCTAACGACCGCCTCTTTACTTTTCGGGCGTGGATTTCTTACGTGAGCCAGTGGCTCGCGCATCACAGAACGTGCATGCCGATTCTCGGCCCTTTGTTTAGTCGCCGAGCGGGGCGTGAAGTGAAGCGCATCACGAAGCTCTCTGCGATCACGAGTTCCCATGTTGCTCCGTTTCTCTCTGTCTGCGCCCGAAACGACAATCTTGTGCGATGTGGATTTACGAGCCCTCGATCACCCGTCCGCCCGTCCGCCCTCCGCCATCGCCCGGACTCCAGGCCGAACGCAGGGAAGGCGAGGCGGGGCGGGGCCGTGGGAATTCTCTCCACGTTCCTCCGCCGAGAGAATTTCCCTCGGAGGGCTCCTCGTGTGCGTGAGTATCAAGCGAGGAGAGGATTAGGTGGTGACGGACTGCTGTTGACGATATTTGTTGTCCGTTCCACATGACATGCGTTTGAGAAAAGTCTCATACAGCAGGAGCCTGCATCATTGCCCGGACGATTGATTGTAAGCAGCCGAGAGGAGAAAGATCTCGGGCCAGCCCCGAGCAGTGCAGATCTCGAAATTTGCTAGATTCCCTTTCATGTGGGGTTCTGGAGTTTTGTTCCAGATGTTCCAGAATCTCCGCCATCGTCGCGCCGATCAACGCTGGGAGTGACTGAGTGAGTGAGTGCGAGTGTGTGTGTGCGGGCGTTCATCCGAGGAGTGTGAGCTTCGTTTAGAAGGACGACAGTCAATCCCTCCGGCTGCTTTTCCTGATCGAACCTACCTAGTGCAGATAAGATCGGATGTTCCTTGTCGTTTAATTTTTCCTGAGATTTTCGCACCACGATGAGAGCTCCTCCACCCCTCCCTCATGTGGGCTCAAGTGCGGGGAGCTCACTTTGTCCATGCCGTTTCCGCCTGAAAAAGAAACAATCTGCACCCCAAGACGCTCTGTTCTCCGCAGGCTGGCACCAGACCTTGCCGGTGGCTTTTCAGTTCTCAAATACACTCCATGCTCTCATATCGATCCGTCTCCAACACAACAGAACCGTCTGTGGTGGGTCACACAGCTCAGATCGAATAGATTCTCTCGCAGAGCAGGAGGAGGAGCATTGTCTACTGCGGCGTTCGGGACACGTTTTGTCAGACTATGCCGTGCCACAGAACCAAATTCTCCACTCCATAGCCACCGTAATTCCGCATTACTCGCTCATCACCGCGAGCGAAAAAGCATCATCCATCTCGGGCTTTCGCTATTGTGGCCCAGCAAACTGACCTCCGTGCTCCTCGCCAACTCGCAGCTCCTCCTTGACCGCACTGCGTTAGAGATTTCCATATCCGAGACAGAGTCGCCGGCACTTTGGCCCTGGTCTATCGGCAGATGTGCAGCACTCGCAGAGCCTTGTCAACTTTATGTTCCACCACCCATAGCTGCACAGGGAATCTTTCCCATGAACGAGGGACGCTTACTTCCATGCCCCGAAGACAAATTCCTGAATTCCTGCCAAGCATTCGAGAGCAATATCCAGACGCATGATAATCGGGACTTCGACTGCATGCCCTTCGTTAATATCTTAGGTTCCCTCTTCTTTCAACCGGGCCCGCTTCCTTCCACCTTTCCAGTACCCTCTACCAAATTTGGAATATGAGGCATGGTCTAGATCATAGCGTCTGCATTCTTACGCTCCTTATGTGGGAAGATGCACTTTTTCACATGCGCTTTTTGGAGTCTCTCCATGTTTAGATTGACAGTCTGGACATCAAGAATCATTTGACTTTGTATTAAGAGTGTCATTGTTAGTGCAGGACGAGAATCTTGCGGATTAGAGGTTTCAAGAAGCTACAAGCTCTACACGGGAGGATGCGATGTTACTAAATGTATATCTTCGTTTACTTCCAGCACATACATACCAAAATTCTCAGCTTGGATTATTATGTTTGAAGTCGTCAGGCCAGGGAAGTATAAGCCATAAATATCTGCAGCATAATTTCCTGCGAAAATTATTCGATTTGGATAAATCTTGGTCTTATATTGTTTGCCATGGACGAAAACATAAATGTAAGGAGTTTTTATTGACAGATCTATTTCTACGTTCTGCTGCATAAAACCGAGGTCAACATTTATGGTCCTCGTTCTTTCAGATCTTTGACACTAGCAGTAAATTAGATCATGTTCGGAATGAACTATGCAAAAATTGTCTTTGATCCTCAATTTGCACACCAGTTTATTGCTTATGAGCAGCGGAACAGAACTATGCAGTTTTTCATCGATTACAGGATATCTTTGCGACATTGATCACATGTTTTTGAGCTTCAAGCATTCATTCGTGAATCGGGTATCATTTCAAATATAGCAAAGCACTGTGTAACAACTTGAAGTTGCCAAATCTTTTCGATTTAGTTGACTTCCCGTTATTGCTATCTTCTACATGTTTGCTTTAGAAAGAACATACAGTTGGATGTGCTTTCTATGATCAGAGCCAACTCTGAATTGGAGTATACATACCGGCGACAAGATGCACTCATGGCGAATTAAGATCCTTGTTCCACATCTGAGGTCTGAATAAAAATCTTTCGTGCACAAGTGTGGTCTTCATAATCAAAGACTCATGTGCTCGCAACTCTTCTCCTCGTTTTTTGGTCTATTTTTTTCTCCATCACACACAAAGACGCGCTTAAACTAATGTTTGATTAATCACATATAAGAGCGTCAACGCTGGATCAAGTAAGAGGACATGCAATCACTTGGACCGGAATAACTGGAATTCAGGGTTTATCAGCAGGGCACATATTGGGAAGTGCACCAGCTGGACGAGTTGATGCTCTCGAGAGAAGTCTTGCACTCGAGGGCACCAAGTGGCTGGGCACTGTTCGAGGATGCACTTGGCAAGTTGCCACTGTGTGTGTATATATTCATGGCTACCTGTTGATTCAGAATGATAGTATACGATTCGAATCGTTGTTCATGGAGCAAGTGCCAAAACTTCTGAAGGGAATGGAAAGAGTGGAGAGTTGAGCAAAGGCATGATAAATCAATCAACAATAAATCATGAACATTCTTCGCAGAATTCGCGTTATTCGGATGACGCGAATTCTGCGAGGATGATTGTCAGTGCCCAAAGTGGGACTCGCGCGGATCGGGACAAGGTGACCGAAGTCAACTGGAGCCTCTTTAGGAATGGCACAACTTCCACGTTGAAGCAAGGGGAGCTTGAAGGTGCACTCACATGGCATTCTTTTTCCAGTTTTCAGCATCGCCTGTCTACCTTTTCGGCAGCTTCCATCCATACTCGATTACTGAAGTAAATCCTCAGGCGCTGAAAGTGCAGACTTGTTCTCGGAGGAAAGATAATAAACAAACCCATAAAAATGTAGACATAGCTGGTTGAAGTCTGCAGACAGTCATAGACTGATGTGAGTCATGGAGTGTTCAACAAGTTCCTGCCTTCCACGCCATTGAAATGAAAATTATCAGAACTGTAGAGTCAAGTAAAGATAGCCATTGATCAAAGATATAATTGGCCGACTTTTAACCACTACATGGACATTGTCATCGTTTCTTGAGTGAACTGGCTTTGACTGTCACAGACTTTTACAGTCCAGAGAGCCAGTAGTAATTTTTTATATTTAATTTCGAATTTTGTACCCCTGGGCTAAAAGATTTCGTAGAATCGAGGTGGAACTAAGCATAATAAAGTATCAAATTCAACGGCTGCTTCCGGCGCACACAACCACGTACCTTTCCATCCTTTAGCCTACAGGTTGTGCAAACGAAGAAAGAGATAACCAAAAACTCTTCACACATGAAACTTGAAGGAAGAAAGACGTCCTCTCCGTAGGAAGAAGTGAGGGCAGAAAGATATGAATCCTGAACGAGTTTAGAAGATCATCAGGCTACCAAAACGAGTTTTTTTGTTTTATTGAGAGAACTAATTTATCATACAACACACTGCACATTGTTTTGGCAGCTTATAACATGTGAGTGTAGGTCACTGTTCTTGCAGGAACCTGTGAGCACCAGACAACTTTTGCATTTATTGTGTCAGCTCAAAATATGCCCCATTTGTAGGATTTACGGGAAATTATGCCGAGAAAGGGGAAAAAGAATAATCATGTGAGGGGAATTCGAGACGAGGGAACGGATGTGACACGGCGAGAACAACAGCGTAAACAATTCTAGTTTAGAATTATTTTCAGTGTCACGAAGACCTGGAAATGTCGGCAGGCTCATTTAAGGGTCGAAGAATCTGTGATCGGATCGCATGGCGATGGCCCGTGGCCATCGACACTGCATGGTCAAGGCTGGCAGCGCCTTGTTACCCTAGAGAGAGAAATCAGGTGGGCTCTCATTGATATTTCCTAGCCCGCACTCAAGTACCTCCGTGTTTCTTACCATGAGCAGGCGACTTACGCCCGGAAGAAGTAATGCTCTCGAAGAGAGGTCCTTCGTGCTTTCCCACGACTCTCGGCCGCTGGAATGCCATTGGCGAGCATCGCATCTCGTCTTACCTTTTGGGAAATCCCGCAGCTTCCCACTGTATACACCAAACTCGGAGTGGCAGTAAAATCTGGGCTTGTAGCGCGTAACCGTCATTTGCATCACGTTACTAACAGCGCCCAGCCGAGGGCAGAGCAAGCGCCAGGCGCAGCCGCTTCGCCCCGGCAGCAGGTGCTGTGGATCATCCACGATCGATCGTCCAGTCCGGTCCGTCCGGGGAGAATTATGGTTCCTTCCTGAATCGGCCGCTTGCAGAGGGAGTTTTGCATGGTCGATTGAAGGGAAGCGATCGGAAGCTGGGGCTTCTTTCGGGAGCGTGCCAAAGGTAATTGTGGCGGGGGAATCAAACGATGCGATGTGATAATCCGCAGCACGATGGAAAAAAGAAACAGTGAAGGGCGAGGAGCGAGCGAGTAGTGGCTGCTTACTTTCTGGGCTGACAAACACTACACGCTAGTTCGCTCCCGTCACTGTACTCATGATGTTCCCTCCAGTTCTGGGAAAGGCCTCAAGGTTTGTGCTCTGCCACTTCAGATGGGCTACTATTTTCTCCAGCACGTGGTTGGTTGCGCCTCCATGTGCTGCCCGCTGCTCGATTGCATCAAGCTGTTCCTTCACAGCTTGATGCAACCACCATCATCATCATCATCATCTGTTTGCTGCATGTCCAAACTGCCAGGCCTGACCTTCAGGGTCTTTCCACTCCCGCTGCAGACACGACTCAGGAGCTATCATGAATGGCAGCAGATGCCCTAGGTTCCTGTTGTCTGATACCTGGTCTTGAATCTCGGCTCCATCCAAACAAAACGAAACAGAATTGAACCGAACCCTGCTTCACGTTCACAGACGATGGAACACCCAAATCACTGTTCCTGCTCGGATGTTTGTAGCAAGCTGTGGGGTTGGGTGGCGTGGCTTGGCGCGGGCTTTCTTTTGACACCATTTGTGGATCTTTTCTCTTGCTTTCATGCACGGGGTGGGGTGGGGGCCTTGGGGTTGCCATCTCCGTGATGTCTTTCCGAGTCAAAATCACACGCATGTATGTATGTAGAGTGAGAAACGCCTCGGGTAAAAGTCCGTGCTTCTCGCCGCGAGTGTTCCAGACTATCTGCATCTGCAGAACGCCACATATTCTCTTGGTCTTGCCCTTGTCGTTATGCTGCGGGGATCTTTTTGCGCACTGGTCAATTCGATTTTCGCGGTGCTCATCAGCGCCCGATAAGTTTCACGCCGGCCTTTACCTTCTGAAGACGATACTCCGACGATTCTTGTCAACACACGAGCAGGCAGGCCAGCCTCCGAAAACTTTTTCGAAGGACGAGTTGTAAGCCTCACGCCCACCGGTGTCCCCTCTCTGCACCAACACCTGGATGGTCTCAAGCCTTCAGTTCCTGTGGCCGGTGATCTCTTTAATTCCAGCACACCGTCATGCGGAGCCGGGCTTGCCATAGGTTTAGCAATTTTGGCTCACGTACTACGCTCGGACTCCTGCGCTCATGCGTCAGGAGTGGAGCGGCGTGCCTAGGCCTTGTGTCCTCGTCCAAACACTTCCAAACTCTCCGGAACGTCCAACCATGGCGTTGCCTAGCCAGCAGCGCGATCGTTGTTTGTTGCGAGGCCCCTCCTCGCTCTAATGACGGGCACGATGACGGAGTGGGAGGCGAAAGCTCTCGTCTCCGCGTTGGAGGGAGGGAGGAAGGAAGGAAGGAAGGAATGGAGAGAGTCGGATGCCAAGTCCCGAATCAATGAAAGATGCCGGGAAGTCCAAAAGCACAAGGAACCAGTGACCAGACGCACACCCCGGCACACCATCGTACGCATGTGTGCAGGAACGAATATGCTGTCTCGTTGAAGTTGAGCATGATCGAACTTCTCACGCACTTGACGTCTATCCCGGCTCAGCAAAATTACAATTGACCATGTCATCGTGAGGTAGGATGTATTACATCTACCCAGCTTTAATGGATAGAACACTTGAGATCCATATGAGTTCGAGCATAAGGAATAAAGAAAACTAGTCGAGTTCAATCGAGATTCGAGAATATCGACGTGGTTCACCCTGGTCCCGATTCCATGATATCGATCCCAGCTACACCCCATGTACATGTCACAGCTACGCTCGCAGAATAATCCGCTGCCCTGCGCTCGCTGCCACTGGTGCTGCCAGAGGCCGACCGGCGGAATCAAGAGATCCCTCGCAACAAGAAACTCAAAAGTGTACGCAGTTCCTTTTCGGGGCGAACTCTTTTCGCTGATTCCACGGCATCGAACCCTAACTCTAACCTCACCTTCCGTCCGGTACATTCCGAGCCGGAGTTCCTTCGGCCTTGCATCATGCGCCAGCTCCAAATCGGGCAAAGCAGAAGCCAGGCACGCATCTCGTCTAATTGCGGGCTCGAGAGATTTGAAGGCGGTGAACATCCGTTCGAGTCACGGAAGACAGACTTTGCTCCCACAAACCCACGGGCGGATGCTGGCAAATGGAGAGATATTTTCTCAGATCTGACATTCAAGGTTGGATTGAAGCCGGTGTTTTATTAGGAGGAATATTGGTCGTCAACTGGATAGCACAGAACATTTTGCCATCTTGTTAAAGAGAATGCCTTGTCGTCCAATGGCGGCAGTGCTTGGGCAACACGATGTACAGACTCAGTCGTTGTTGCTGTGCACTCGTTAGCCATGGATAGCTGGCTGGCTGGCTGGCTAGCTGGAAGCGAGTGCTAGAGTTTAAAACCTTGCGATGATGCTAATGACGTCTGTACATGTACTCAGCGTTTTGTCGGTACGTTTAATTGGGCAATGATTCTCGCAAATCCTCCGTGGCTCGGGCCCGAGAACTTACCCAGGCCGAGGTACGGATGTGGAATCATGAACAGCTCCCGATCCATTTCTCTACGGGGAAATTCGCATGACGAAGGAGATGTGGATAACGCTCTGTTTTTTTATGTGAATCTGGAAAACCTTTGTGGATAAAACTTTGTGCCACTAGATCGCCGTTTATTCGAAATTTGGTTTCCCTCATATACGCGAACATGCAAATACCTCGGATTATGTCAAACATCTTGCAGACATTGACACTGACAGAACATTCCTGGACCATTTGACCAACTTCATCTATGACTTTTTCAAGCCTTGACGCTTCCGAGTAACGCACGCATCACATTCTACATTTGACATTCTTTTCACCATTCCGCACATACAGGCGTCTCACACACGACCCCGCTCTCCACCACAAATCCCATCGTCTGCCGCATCTGTCTTGTCAGACAGACATCAGCCCTCGCTACCTTACTCCTCGAGAAACTTCTCCATCGCTCTCGAATCTTGAGTCCTTATGCTACTCCCACTGCGTGCGAAGAAGATACCTCCGATCACGGAATTTCGAAGCTTTGTTTGTGTCTTTGAAAGACCATTGCCACTAACAATTATTTTGTAGTTTATCAGATTTCTGCAGCCGATCATTCATTGGCAGCCATTGGTGTCCTAGACAAACTAGAATGTGTTAGGGGTAAGGTAGATATACAAATGATGCGTAAGGCAAATTCAAAATCAAAAATTTGTATATTTCATTTGATTATGTCAAAAGCAATTAATTACTCGTGTGGAACATAACCCCATACTAGTTTGCAATAGATTTCCAGCTAATGATTTCCACTTTAACGTACACAAATCTTTTTCCAAATTTGGCTCTGCTACAACTAACTTGAGTTTGTACCATAAGATAATCATAAAAGATACTGTTTAATATTAAGTGAAAGATAGTAGATTTCTATGACTTTCTACATTGTTCTATAATTTTCAGCTTAAGTCATCATATAAATATAAATATTACATTTCTTCAAGAAAAATAAGTCTGTCCATCCATTTCTATATACTAGACCGTTTTGAAAGTAAAAAAAAAACTATATATAGTAAAACAGATACAACAGCTCATAAGCCGTATCTGTCAATTTCATTTTATAAATAATATTATAAATTATCAAGAGTTACAATTTCATTACTGATTTTGATCTAAAGAAAAGACCAATATCCATGAAATTTAGTCCTGATTTTTATCTATTTACCTCATCAAAATTGTATAATTGTCATCCTGTATGATGAAATAAAAATGAAATGTTTTAGATTAAAAATTTTGTTATTCATCATTAATAATACAAATAAATAATAACATATCATCTTTTAAGAAAATGATAATTGAAAATTGATTTTTATTTCGTGTTATCTATCAAGCATCAATAAAATAATTACTTTTTCTTCTCTATTTTTTCATTTAATTGAGATCTCATGATTTCAGAAAGACTAGTATTTGGTTAATTTTTTATGATTACATTATGAAAAAAAAGGTCTATTTATGTCTAAAGTATGAACAAATCTATTTTCATATTATTGCTCAAACTTAATATAACTTACAACTTTACTGCGTAAAATCAACAGCAGATGTAACTTTCTTAATAATTTTCTAAAAATATTTTTCAGCTACATTTACATTTTTTAAATTTTTCAATTAAATCTTAAGATTGAATTTTTTTTCAATATAATCAAGAAATCATCAAACTTCTAAAATTTGTATGAATGATTGATAAACAATAAAAGAATTAAATTTAACACATTTGTAATGAAATTTAAATACTAGCAATCAAAATTTATTAAAAAACCTTATTGAATTTAAATAATATTTGAATATTTCATTTATTTTAAAACTTAAATTTATGAAAAATATATTCCATTTGTTGATTTTCTCAAAATTTCAAGAAAATCAAAAAATACATATGTTAATTGAAAAAATCAAAAGAGTAATTTTGAGACAAATTAAAAAAACTTAAATATAAATCTTATCAAACATCAAATTTAGATCTTATTTGAATCAATACCAATGTTATTTATAACTCAACACAATTCATGTCAATTGATGATTATTTAGTGTTTGAAAACATAAAAACTCATATGTTTGATCCAATATTTGAAATGCCAATCAACTCATGTTTTTCTTAATCTAGGTGAATTGAATACTGCTTAAGGTTTAGAATAGATTACATAAATGTTAATGATACCTCATGTAGTTTCTGTTGTAAAATTTGAATTTCAGGGAATATATCTTTCGGACTACAGAGAAGTACGAGTCTTAGCTCCCCAAACACTGTCTCATGTTTTCATAACTAACTCTTATGTTACTTTGAACTTAGCTAGAAGCTAATCACATACTGCATGCTTTTTGCAATAGTTTGTTTTAATGGTCTCTTGAATTTTTTTGAGTTTGTGTGCAATCTCTGTTCTCTTGTGCTTTCAATTACAATTGATGTCAAAACAATATCTGAAGATTTTCGAGCAATATTGCTACTTGATTCTTAGATTTTTTGTTCTTTTGATGACATGAATGTATTTGTGTTTGAAAGGTTTCGTGGAAGTTAAACAACTCATCAACGTGCTCTACTAAATCCGACACATCTCATTCTAGGCCTCAGACTTCATTGACTTGTTCTCATATCTCTTTGTTTGTAGCCATGTGCTCTCTTGCCATTGAGCATTTCACAAATTTGTCTTGATCGCCAACACTGGCATGCTAATCTGATACCATTCTATCAAGTTTGTTGTAGCCAAAAAAAAGTTCAAACCTGAAATCTTATGATGCATTACTTTTGCATGCATGTTGGAGTCATAGTGACGGTGATGAAAATCTATGAAATATATCTACCTCTAACTTCTATATAGATGAAAATCTTTGTCATTTGAAATCATCTTATCAAAGCATCTTGTCAAAGAATCAATCCGTCGTAAACTAATACAAGATTTCAATGAAGTTTGCATTTAAGGAAATATTAGTCATGGATATTCAGAGATATCTGCTGAAGAAGAGACTATGGTTGCATCAAGTCAAATACTTTTAACATGTGCTTGAATGGTTTAACATGGTATTGATTTTGCACAAGACCTCTGATATACAAAACACTAAATTGAGTCAATACTTCAAGGAAGATTAATATAGACTAAGAATGAGTAGATTCCTCACTCAAGACTCAAAATAACACTCAAAGTGAAAAAACTTGAAGTATTATTGATAACTGGAAGAGTAGCTACAAGTGGTGTTGACTAGAATGAGGTACAATGTCTTGAAACTTTCTATATATAATATTAGAATGCTACTAGGAACTTCAAAGTAAGAAAGAGTCATTGCCTCCAATGTTAGAAAGAGTAATTCTTACCGCTACTAGTTTGAAATTAAACATAATCAATAACTCTGAAATTGGAAAAAGTTGTTCTCATTTCTACCTATATGTCATGTCCGTGACATAAACTCTAAATCTCACTGTGATATAGACTTCAAATTTCCCTCAATTCAATGTTCAACAATTGTCATTGAGAAGAAAAAGATGTCATCAATTTACTATGACAAAGATTTGGTCAACATTATGAATTTGCTGGTGTGTACAAGGTCTGGCATTGCTTTAGCTATGCTCAAGGTGAGCAAATATATGTCAAATCCATATAAAATGCACTATATTGTAATGAAATATATTCTCATGTATCTAAAGAATACCAAGAATTTTGGTTTATTGTTTGATGATTAATTATATAATGTCAAATTTTTGCTAGACTACATTGATGTTGACTATGAACAAAATCTAGACAAGAAAAAATTTACAACTAGATATATATTTACACCTCATGATGGATGCATTAATTGAAGATCTAACTTGAAGAAATGAAAACCTTGAATAAAAACAAAAGCTAAGTATGGAACGGTAGCAAAAGTAACAAAGAAAATCATTTGATTGAATAGGTTTATCATTAAAATGAGATTGAGACATGAGGTTGTTAGTCTTCTTTATGATCATCAAAGTGCATTACAGATGTATCTTGTTGTAAATCAAAAGATGGATAATATAGTCAAACACATCAACATCACAAATCACTTTATTCGACATGCAACATCTGATAAAGAGATTGAGTTAGTGAAGATTGAAGGTAAATTTAATCCTACAGATGTGATGATCAAAGTTAGTTTTTCATAAAGTTTTATGACATATTGTGCTACTTTGCAAGTTTTGCATGATGAGCATAAGTATAATGATTGACAATTTTAGTTACAAAATTCTAAAATTATAATGAATTACAAAAAAAACCATATGAGATAAACTTGAGGAATAAATAATCCAACAATATAAATAATCATGTTAACTGATATTTATGCAACTCTAGTTAGTTGGATTAGGGTTATTCTATCATAGCTAGTAGTGATAATCTATAAAAAAAAAATTGTGTGTTTTTAAATTTAAACTAAGTATACTCAATACATATAATTGTTATGTATTTATTCTTTATATGTGTGCATTTTTCTATGTCAATAGTATAAAATATCAATTACACAAATCATAATGTGTGTGAATCTTTGATATCAATGAAATTAGAATCAACATGTGAGAGATATTCCATAAGGTTTGTAACTTCTTTTCTTCCTTAATTGGATCAAAGATGTTTATATTATATATACAGGTTCAAATATGTGCTAGAATAGTTAAGTAGACCGGTTTCCATATAACCTATCTTTAAAATATATGTGAGTCATATGAATAGAGATTAATTTCTTTTAGATCTATTACTGTAAACAAGTCTTGGTTGTGATATATTACTATAAAAACTGCATTATTTTCCCATCAATTGTTCTAACATCCTATACTTTATCTTCATGGTTTAAAAGTTATAGCAGGTTATACAAATCCAGCCATTCTTTCATAGCAACTTTCTAACCTATAGCAAAAAGTCTTCACTCCTCTACTTGCATCTTCAATACTCAGCATTGTGAGATTAGTGTTATCTTGGCTTTAGCAAGCATCAATAATGCTCATGGGAAGTGAATGGATAATATTAGTCATGTGTTGAAGATTATTTCCGGAAAGAGTCAGAATTCCAATGAAAGTAGGTTCATGTTTCTTGTATCATAATCGACTGTATGGTGACAACTTAAACCTTTATCTGAATTAAAGCTATCAGGTTATGGATTTTGTGATAACATACGTTTGAAATATTATTCGAGCTATAATTATGCTTATTTACATGCATATAAGAGCATGCATAACCATGCTTTAAAATGGCGTCAAGTGGAACAAAGGCAAACAGAGTTTTCAAGTGAATGGGATAAGAAGAGAGTTAAGTAGAGCGAAAACAAACAACCCTTTCAAATGTAAGGGATAAGCTTAGAGTTCAAACTTTGTATTTTGTTACTTATTATGTGGAGCTATGGACAAAGATCACGAGACAATGGTGAGAGAGATCACTCCAAAATAGACGAGATGTGATATCGCCTTCTTTTTCTCTTTCTGGTTATTTTAGTCACACACGACAACTCTTACATTACATTCTTGAGAGGAGAGCTTACACATGTCAGTTTAAAAATCTGGTAGTCTGTGCTCTGGATTCAAGAGACATTTTACCTGATTCGATTCAGGAAATTATGAATCTTTTTACCGGTATGCATTTTAATCATAAATGAAGTGATATCATAACTATAATGTTATTATCTGAACTTTTAACTCTGAGTTCATCTTGAAAGTTATAAAAAGCAACCTTGATATTTCCAGATGCAAAACTTTTGCAAACATGATTGAATGCATGGGCTTCTTACTCTGTGTTAGTCTTGAAAGTCCTCTCAATCGATGTTACAAGTAAAAGTGCTGCAACAGCATTGTGCAGTAATAGTGATGTGCAGAAAGTCTAAACTCTTCTCTTTCCGTTTCTCCACCAAACACTTCTTTCGTCATTGATGGGAAACTCTGTCGTGGAATTGTTCAGCACGTTATTTAGCCACGACTTCTCATCAACATTACAGAAGCTCTTTTTTATGAATCTTTGTATCTCATATCCAACAAGTGAGCACCTCACTTGAAGAGGACCTCGATTGGGGCGTTCGAAGTTATCTCGTCCAATTTACAGAGTAGATACTTGAGAGATCTGAAGCATTTAACACCCATGATTGGACGAAACAGAAGTACATTCTTTGCTGCACAAAATTTGGATACCAATACCACCACAAATCGTTAATGTTGCACTTGTGGAAAAAACATGCACATATGTGGATGTTTTTTCGGCAAACAAGTGCAATCTTTAAATTACTTTCAAGGTTGTAACTGACTTCCTACATTACATTGATGCTCGTCCGACTGTGATTCTATTGTTCTACTGTCTAAGCTACGGAATATTAGGGGTTTCACATGGGCGAATGCTGATATGTTTCCTCTTCCTATAACTAAACTACTCCCATGGTACTGAGGCAATTTTGCTACAAAATGTGACCCCACTAACTACGTCTGTTTCTTTCTCCTTAAGACGATCAAGAGTGAAAGGTTTTGCAAGTTTTCGGCCTTCACGTGTAAAGTGGCTTCCTGCATTCTTTCACTCGACTCTATTCAGCATCTACACAAGACTGTCTACTGGTCGGTACCCAGACCAGTAGACAGTCACCGTGCTTTCGGCAACATCTTGGTGGGACTTAATTAAGTCCCACCAACACGTCGCTAGCGAGCTTTTGCCACAGGTCTTTTCCCAGGGCTGAAGAAGCTGTATTTCCGGGTACCTGTACCCGGAAGCTTTCTGGACATATTACAGTTCCTCGCTATGCTACAAACGCCCCATGCCTTTATTTTGGCTCCAGGAGGCAGCTTCAAAGAAGATTTCGTGGTTGCGCAAGCGGATGTCTTGGGCACCGCAGCAAAACGCACTTTCTTCGTCAAAACAACACCCTTCTTCTTGTCGACAAACGGAGGTTGTATAGCTTCAGTCACCTTCTTCGTCAAAACAACACCCTTCTTCTTGTCAACAACCGGAGTTCGTATAGCTTCAGTAACCTTCTTCGTCAAAACAACACCCTTCTTCTTGTCGACAACCGGAGTTTGTATAGCTTCAGTCACCTTCTTCGTCAAAACAACACCCTTCTTCTTGTCGACAACCGGAGTTTGTGTAGCTCCAGTCACCTTCTTCGTCAAGACAACACCCTTCTTCTTGTCGACAACCGGAGTTTGTATAGCTTCAGTCACCTTCTTCGTCAAGACAACACCCTTCTTCTTGTCGACAACCGGAGTTTGTATAGCTTCAGTCACCTTCCTCCTCTGCGGTTCGTGGACGTTCTTCTCCTCTCCATTCTTGTTATTTCGCTGAGTCTCGCCCTTTGAAATCTTCACATTGAGGGGAGGGACAACCGGCTTCTCTACGCTTTTCGTAGCCGGAGGTCGATGACGGAGGATGCGTCGGCCCGAACTTTTTTGCCTCTCTTTTAGTCCTGCGTCCCCAGGAGATTCGTTGTCTGAGTCTGAAACTTCTATGATAACTTTCTTATGCAATGGCTCGTCTCCAACGGAGTATTTGCATGCGCTGTCCTCCGACAAATCCAACTTACGCTTGAGACTTTTTGCCCCGAGCTTTGCACGCCTTTTTGAGACACGGTTTTCCGCGTCTTCCGTTTCCTGCTGTTCCCTTTTAAGAACCTTATGCAAAGCTGAGTTTACATGCTCATTTTCCTTGTTCTCCTTAAGAGCATATCTGTATGATTTACTTCGTAAGGCAACATTCGGAGTGCACTCAAGACTCTTGCTTCCGACTGCTCTTGTAATATGTACCTGTCCATCCAGTTCAAATTGGGTGAGCAGTTTTGTGAAAATCGCTTGTTACATCCTTGAACATAGATATGAGATAACCCTCAGTCCAGAAGACGTTTCCTATTGTGACTTGAATGCCAAAATGTGAGTGGGAAGAAAACTCGTGACGACCTTGAATCGAGTAGGCTTGACCAGTTCAAAAACCACCGCATCCCCATCCTCGAGATCGTGGTCAATGGAAAAGCCCCTCCATCCTCCACTAAGGCCTTTCTTATGATGCAAATAAATTGTTTCCCATTCAAGTCCATCTTCGTCTTCCAAGATGACCAACTCATCTTTTCTGAAGTGCGTGATGCAGAAATCACTTGGCAAGCCCTGCGATGTGTCCCACAGTGTCAGGCCGACAGCTTTGAATCGTCAGAGCTTCGATAACGAATATGATGCCGCCAGCATATTCCCGAAGAAATGGTTACAACTCAAACGCTAAGCGGGAATTAATTTTCAGAGTATTCAGCTTTGCTGTGAGGACTTATGAAAGTAAGATACTGAGTACAAAAACCTTGCTTTCCTGAAGCAAACAACCTACCAGCCAAAATCCCCCGGAAGTGTGCGATCTTAGCATGGCCTTCACAAATGATGGATGACCAGTTTTGATCTCGCTAGCCCTCACAGATGCCTCGCTTCTGGCGGCAGGTGAGATAAATCCTCGTTTCAGTACTCGTCCTATTCTCTTTCTGTGGAACGTGAGGGCTAGGTTAGAAATATCGTCAAATTTTAAGGGAGAGGACCATTTGCAGATGCAATTGCAAATTGTAACCACCTCTGAAAAAAGATCTCATATCTGTAATGACTGCATCAATTTGTAAGAGTTATGTCATCCTTGCACCCAGCTATATTGGTAAAAACTCTAATAACATTACCTCGGGCAGCCCGTTCCTTCCACTTCTGCCCGATTTTTCTGAAAGAAAAACGCAGACAAACAGACAATTTACTGATGTGACTCTTCATTTAGCCATCAAACCTTGTGAAAGTGTTTTCTCCAGGGCACTGGTTCAATATTGCATAATCCCCCTGGGCACTTACACGTTCTTTCAAACACCTTAAAAAAACTATCGAAACCTGCTCAGTCGAAAACTTGCCAAGTCATCGGTCATGAAGGAGTAAATGTAATTAGTTCCCCTCGCTAGAAGATCATGAAAACTAAAGACAAGAAAAGCTTTGGCCAAGCCAACTACTTCACAGGCACTCAAATGTCACTCACATTTTACCCGAGTAAGATTTCAGGATATTTCGACAGAGAAGTATTGGAACCTTGCTACTTGCTTGATAATCGATCAATCGAAAATTTGATTATGAATTGGCAATGAAAATAAAATGAATCAACTACAAAGTTGCATTGTCCTGCAAGGGATGCGTACCTCGTAGTAGTTAACAGAAGGCTTCCTGGTCACTCTAGGTGAACGTCGTATTTCGACCGCACATTCCTGCAGATTCTTCTTCTGTAGATACGCGGGAAATATCATAATCATTGAATAAGTGAGGGAAAAAATCGGAGATGTTACAATATCATGTTTGAGATGAGGAAAACTCACAATGGCTTTCCTAGGAGTGTTGGTTTTGGAAGGGCTCTTGGTAAACAAACTCAATTGATCTTTCAAACCAAGTTCCTGCATCAACGGAAAAGAACACATCACTGGCCTATTAAATCGAAATACAGCCGAAAGAGACACCAAAAAATTTGCAAAAAATGGAAGGACTAATACAAAGTGCGCTTAATTTCTACTAAGACCCTAATTCCCGAATTCGACTATGCCAATGGCTACGGGACGAAAAGAAATTATCCCGGCAACACGCTACCAGCTGTTACAGATGCTAGAAGCTGATCCATGCAAGACTGAGCTCATCCTGCAACTACTACACCAGTACGGACTGTTCGATATTCCATACTCTCTGCTTGCTTACCACGCGTATGGTCTACTGCTGGCAATTCTGTGACACCGGGTTTGTAAGGATGAACTGTATGTGCGACTCACACCCACTGCTTTGAGTGCTGACCGTTTACTTTGCGATGAAAACCAGTCGTGCGAGACTTGATCACTTGGGAACTCTACTGTATGCAGTGAAGGAGTGCATTCGCAACATATGGCTCTATCCCATGACCGACGTTCAATTCTGTGTTCATCTATCTACATAATATAACTTCCGATTTCCAAATTCGACAGAGTGAAAGTGATCATCGCTCGTCATCATGGCAATATACAGGGTTGAGTCAGGACAGAAAATCCTACCACCTATTTCATTTCTTTTCAAAAATGCTGTCGCATTTTTCGTCCTGAACTTTAAGAAAACCCGAAGCACATTATACTTATGTCAATCTATTCTTTTAAACAAAAAGTGGCTTACTCAACCTGACTTTTGAGGTCTATTGTAAGTAGACGTCCGAAGAAAATTTATCAACTGCGCTCTGTACATTGAGAGCATGTAAAGGGAGATCAACGAAATGAAAATCTCTACCACACTCAATTTTTTGAAGTGTTTTCATAGGTTCTCCCTTTCCTGTTTAAGGTTATGGGTTCACCGTAAACAGTTTTCAGACTGCCGCGGGATTACCGTGTGTTCTCCCAAGTGCTTTATGTCACCTAGAGGCCCACAAAGAGTAATTGCGAAGCCGCTACTCTAAGCTCTGATAAATTGCTGCGGATTTTTTGAGTTAGAATGCAGAGCTGCACCTGCACATCAAGAGTTTTTGTTCATGTCTCGTGGCCGAAGAGTCAACAGAAAGCTTCTGAAGTGTCCAACTTCAAGGTTATTACTTCGAAGGATAGTCACGTCATGATTGCTCGATGGTATGTTAATCTGCAGTGTTTTCGAAAGCAGAAGAGAGTGCCCAGACGTCATATGTAATTCGGAGCTGCACACCTGTCGATTCAAGGAGTTTGCTAACATCTACTGCTGATTCCAGCTACTGCGAAATGTTTAAAGAAGTCCCGGAGATGCAATGCTTTCAAGAAACGATGGTCTACTGGTATCAAAGGAGACTACTGTCACAAAAAACTATTCAATTTTACAGCTCGAGTGGTACATATCTACTTGCTTGATCGATCTTTGCATGAAATTCCTTACGGTAGAAGACGACGGGTCAACCTCGCTCTCCTTAAAGCTAACAGAAATTTTATCGTCCTGCGACACAACAAAAATGGGACAGAGTCTTTAGCCGTGTCAGAACTGACGACTCACCTCCATTCGCTTCTTGTTATCTTCGATCCTCTTCAGACGTGCCTCTTCGTAAGTTAGCTTGCCACTAGCAGGCTCAAGATCCCGCCGGAAATCAGTAGCCATGCTGAGAATGTTCAATCTGAAAGAAACAACGACCTTCAAGTTAGACGTACGTAACTTGATTGAGAGCACAAGTCTCATGACAAGGAACCGTGAATATATTGTCATAATTACTGCGAAAATAGGTAATGATTATGCACCTCTAAAGATCTACAGAATTAGATTGTATACAGTATGCATCAAAATTTTATATTTGCCATAGTGGCAAACAATAAGTCATGAGCTTGGATTCCAGGTACAGCTTGACACCGTTTCCATTAATGTATTAATCCATGGCCGTTTAAGATGTGCAACCTGGTGGACAGAAGCTGATTGCTCACTTTCAGAGGAAGGTGAAGTTCATATCAATAGTAATGATACGTCCAATCCCGGTTCTTCAGAATGGCCTCTGCAATTTTGAGCTACCTCTGAACCATGCGTTCCGACGTAAAACAACACCTGCACCATCTGCCACCAAGCTAAACTGGTTAAGTCAACACTATCTTTGTCACAACCTCTTTTACGATACAGAATGAAATGATGAGTAATAAGTACCCTCAATCTTGTTCAAGACTTACCAGTGGAAGATTACACAGCCTTTCATCTATGAGCGGCCAGCCTGGAGTGCAAGACTCCCTTGTTTATCTTCAGCCGGTAGTTCGGTCTGAAAAAAATTTGTTTCAGGCTATACTTGAGAGATTGAAGACACTGCATTACAGCGAATTGGCCTTTGTACAAAGATTGGAATCAGTAAAAAACTGCTTCTTTGGAAATTGGTCACAATTTCGACTTTCAGCAGTTTGACTTAGACCAGTAATTAACAGGCCTGCTCTCTTCAAATGCGACAGAATGCTAGCTGCTAATCTGTATCACCTCCACAGTCAAATGATACGTTCCACAGACTCTCAACAAACTATTCTCAAAACTCTTACAATCGAAAGTTACAAAACGTTCTCAGTTTTCTGTACGTTATCAGAAGCAATGTTAGAACGCTGCGTACTACCATGGAAACAGAATTTTGCTCTAAACAACGGTGAGAAATTCATCGCGACCTTCAATCTCGAAGAAATCCACAATCTGAAACAGAAGGAGAGGCATGCCCACCTTGAGCAGGTGTCTAAGATGACAGGCCCGGTGAGATGAAACATGCTCTCTATTTCTCATGTATCATTCACGACATCAAAGCAGCTCCCATCTGTCTCGACAACCAGGCATTCTTTGCTCTTACAAGCGGGAGGCGGAAGCCGAAGATAAACTCTGAGATTCAATTCCAGAGTGCTCTGTACTCCAAGACCAAAAATCGGCCACTAGCGCCTTCGCCCTCTCGCAACGATCAGGTATGTGATACATGTGTGGAAATCATTGAAAGACAGGGAGCGCAACCAAATCCATTTCTTAGGTGCGGGAATTAACTCACAAGCACCGCCAGACCGAATCTTGCAATATTCAGGTGAACAATTTGTCCACGAGCACCCTTCTGGACTCTCGGACCTAGAGTAGCATCTCCCAGAATGCAACCTTCCCAGCCTAGAGTTGCAGCACGGACATAATGACAGACGAGGAAGTGGTCGAACTGTCGACCACAGAGCCGCAGCGTCGAACTTCATTTGAATGCCTGCCTCCCGCTCTCGCGCGCTCCTCTCTTGCTGCGGACTGCAGTGCGGCGTAGAGCAACTTCGCAGTCAATCGAGCGCGGGAACCGACAAATCCTCTCCTCGGATTCAGTATCTACACTACAGTGCCCTGACAGTGGCCATAATTTCCGCACTTTTTTCCCACTTTCTCAAGATCGGCGATTCATCGTCAAAATCTTCACATACACACACGGCGATACCACACAGAACAGTAATTTTAGGAATAATTTCTATACGGTCTTGCAGTTCCTGTTACATTCGACCCTGAGAAGTTGCAGCCTCTGCAGATGCAATTTGTTCATTATTAGTTTTTCAACAAATTATTGCGAATTTAGTCAAAGAAATTCCTAGCCATGTTCCTTCACTGGTAAAGCCTACAAGTCAACAACTATCAACGGTATGGTTGTGTCTGAGTGTTAGGCATGCGTTTAACGTATTTGATCACAATCAGATACATTTTAGACTATTACTATTATTTTAGGCTAGTTATACCTTAGTTAGGGCTAATTAGTACTCATTCTATTATTCGCAGTTCTCCCATTGGTCGATAGTAGCTGTAGGGTAATAGGGATACAATAGTAACTTTAGGGTGGTCGACCCTACAGTAGGATGAGGGCTAATTAACCCTGAATGAATGATAACTAACCCCACCTTTAGTGAAGATAGTCACACGACACAACCTCTACGATTGCATCGCTGCTATTTCATATAAACCGATGTAGACAACAAACTGAGAGATCGACGGGGAAAAGATATGGTCGGCTTGTCCACAAAATATCTAATCTGGAAATATAATATGTCAAGGTGAGCATGTTCACTAAAACGTTGTTGTGAGTACAAGGAATGTGGCTGATTCGGATCCTGCAATCCTAACTGATGTTCGCCAGGTACCTACGTACTCGAAAAGGTGAACATTGCGTCACTCTCATCATGTTTTGAACGTTCGGAGATATGCATGGCTTTAGGCAATCTGAATGGACGAGGCTAGAATTTATTCCCACAAAACAAAATCCATGACTTTAACGTGATACATTTAAAGTGAAGTCTTCGCAATGATTCAATATAACAGTCACTAAATTTACTCGTAAGCAAGGACACTTGTAACAATCATTCCCTCGACTGGCTATTTTTATCGAATCTTAGCGCATTTGCCGTCGTTATGCCTCCGAATCGAAATTTAGGATGTACAATTGTGTACAATTCTCACCTCTAAAAAATGTCAATTTTCAAACTAAATATTTTCTTGTAATTTCAATATTTAGACTATTTTAAACTTATCAAATCATCTGTTGTTCTTTTTTTCTGATATATCACAAATAAAAATCATATATCACAAAGTATATTTATTAATAGAATACATTCTTCTTCTCATTCAAAAAACAGTGTATTTTGAACGAAAAAATGTTTTATATATATATATATATATATAGCTCATTCCAATATCCTACATCTGTAAACTTCAGCTTATCAGATAACATAAAAATCATATTTTTTACATAATATGTAGCATATCACTAAGTTGGAAAAAAATTCACATTACATATTAAATGCAAATGACTCAATAATAATATATAAAACTTAATAACCCATGCATATTTATATTATGAAAAGTATTTTATCATACCATAAATAAATATCTTAACGAATAGATGGCAAGGAAAACATAATCAAAGTCACTCAACCATATGAAGAAGTTTTTCACTGTAAACACATAACCATCAAGAATATATTGAACAAAAAGTGATATTAGCCTATATAAATGTGCATCAGTTTTCTATAAGCAAATTAGTGGCTACATTATAAGCAAATTATTAATTTTTACACTGTACTATATATTTCTAATGAAGTCGTACAGGATAAAATTAATAACTTTCTTTAAAAAAATACATACTTCAATTATTAAGATTTGAAAAATATTTCAATTCCTGTTATTTCTGTATGTAAATTTGTTTGAATGTTGAACAACCCCAACAAAGTATAGCCTTATATTCCTTGCAGAAATCAGATAGATACCTTTTGCAAAAACAACAAATATTAATTTGATTGTGTTAGAAATAAAGTAGTATCCACGAGGTTTATTCTTTGTTTCTTTAACATTGTGACAACACAATTACATTTTCATGTTTTTGCTCATTAATATTGAGTAATCTTCTGTTACATCATCAATGATTATTATGTTTGCCAGAAGCATCCGAATATTTGTATGAACAATAAAGCAAAAAATGTATTACTACATTATATGTAGATTAAGTCTGAATTTAAAGAGGTTCAAGTGATAAACAAATATTTTTTAGCAATAACATTTCCGTTGTTCATTCAAACTACGATAACAAGCTTTTACTTGAAACAATTTTAGATGTTTTTTATACCAAATATATGGATGCAAAACTCATCACATCTAATAATTGTGAGCAAACAAATTTTGATAACTATTTCATGAAAAATCAAAGTGAGACATAATATATTGATTTAGTTAAAATAGCTTAAGGTTTTAATATTTTTTCATTGAAATTGCACATTTGATAGTTATATCTGAATTTGTATATACTTATATTTATAAAAAATATTAGAGTCAGTAATATAGTATCAAGCACGCACATGTGAGAATTATATTGTATACATTTATTTTATTGATATTATTACACGGTGTATACTTATTACAAAAATCATATAAAATAATTTAAAGAAGCAATTTTCATATGATATTTTGAAATCTATATGACGATACAAATTTTTATTTATACAACATAACAACATAAATAAAATATGTTAAAAACAAAATTGCTCTATTTTCCATGATAATTTAAAAATATAAATTAAATATTTATAAAAAAGTGAGGATGACAATTACAGATCTATGAACAACATTTGGATTTTTCAATTTTTTTTAAACGTGAAATGGATATAGATGTTTATCATCAATGTCAACAAAATAATCACCTCTAATCTAATATTCACATTTTGATATGTATTCATGTTAGTTTGATGTACATAAGACTAAAGATCTATTTTAAAATTTCTAAACACAACTGTACACTATGAAACAAATATTATTGATGAACACGAGATTCATAAATATTGACATGTAATTTAAGAAATATATTATTTGTTTGATTGGTATTCAAATTGCTTTTTATTATAAATATATCATGCATTTTTTTATTATTTTTTCAACATGCTTCAAGTGTGAATTATGTACTATATATATTAACTATCTTTTAAATTATCCATACACTTAATTTTATGATAAATCTTCTGACATCATTTATATTTTTGAAGATATGCTATATTTACAAGCATATTTAATAACATGTGTATTCTGAAATACTATTCTTAGATTATAATCAGTTAACAAATTTTCGCATAATCAGGTTTCAAAGTATAGAAGTTTTAATTTACCAAAAATTAAGCGTCATTCATCATTTTACACATATACCAAAATTCCAACAATATCAACTATAATAAAAAATATATATTTTATAAAAGGTCATTACCGATTTCAAACTGATAAATATTTAAAAAAAAATTTATTCAAATTTAGAGATGAATTATGATGAAAACAAAATTATTGACCATAGCTTCAATGATATATAAATTTTGCATACCTGTATCTAATCAAATAAGAATTTTGTAACTAACAATGCGTAAATTTGTTCAAGAATCTGATTGTAGTTTAATATTTTTTCTTTCTTATGCCATTTAATCATATAAGATTTGTGGTTAGTAGATTGTTAATTTGAATATATGAAATGAAATCTGATATATTATGATTTGAATTATATTGAGAGTTTTTTTTTTTGCTAACCTCATGTGCAAACAACAATGGTTTGTTGGAATGTACTGATTAAAAAATAAATTGTAATTTTTCTTGTAAATTATGTACATAAATTTGAATATAAGCACAAAGATACATAGAGGTTTCTTTGTTTAAATGCAAACATTGTGATCCATAAAAAAATATTATTTAAGTCTTGAAAATGTAAATACAAGAAATAATGAGAACAAATTATATTGAGAAGATTGTATCATTAAGTATTATCATCATACACTATGCAAAGTGTTGGTTTAATTTGAAAAGAATATTATATTTAACACTAAAATCAAATTAAATTTTTGTTTGACATGATATGTAATTATTGATATTCATAACATTCATAAATGTTATATCACATAGAGCAATCAAACAATTATTGAAATAATTTGCAGAAAGTATTGAAAAAATTAATTAGTATGAACTATCTGCTTCATGAAATCTATAAAAATAAATGTTGATCTCCAAAAAATCAGATTAAAGATAATCTAAAAAATACGTATATTTCGCACTATATAATATGGCGTGAATTATTTTAAAATTTGTAAAATAAGTCGTCTATTATGTATAAAACAAAAAATATATGTAAATTAGAATTAGCTAGAAATCGAATAAATTATTTTTTCATTATGATTAAAATGTTTATTTTTCTCATTGATAATATGTTTAGATTTACAAACGTATATATTTTAATGGTACATCAATTAAATCTATTAAGAAGCCTGTGATCACAATCTTGGATAATGCTCAATCATATTTTTGTCCAAAACAAAATAAAATATGAAAATGAAATACTTAGTTCTAATTTCATATGGATTAGGAATAATCTTCACGTTGTTGTAATTAAAAATTTCAAATTGCATCAATGGTAGAATATAAAAACATATTTTCATTCAAAACTATTTTATTTACTCACTATTGCAATATTTATATTCTTAGAATGTACGAGAAGGATGTACGTCGAAGCGGCTAGGGTGAAAGTATGGTTTCGCAGAACGAGCGTCTCTGTGAGGTGGGTGGGAGGGAGAGGCCATGGACTTCCCGTCCTGCCTTAGTGAAGTGGAAGTGTTTGGGTGGCCCCCGGAGGATATATGTTGGTGTCGATAAAAGTTGCAGAAATTTCTTCCCATGGTCACAACGGCGTCGGGTTCGATCATACAAGGGAGCACATGTAAAGCAGTCGGAGACATCTGGGAATCTTTGGACGATCAAGATCGCACCCTAGAGTGGGGGATGGCATGTTACGCTCTTCAGAGTTTCTTGAAATCAGGCCTATTCATGGTGCACATTGATTGCGCGCGCATCTTTCTCCCTCCTCATTCCCGACTCTGTCCTAATGGGCACAGTACAATCCTCGCAAACGCTTGTCACCAGGACTTGAAGGACAAGATTTGGGCAACGAATTGTGGGAAAGGATCGGGGAAAAGGGCTCGGAAAAGAGGCCGATGTGCTCCTTTATGAGGAAGATGCTCGGTAGCATATTCTGCCCGAGAAGATCTCTGTCCTATTTCGAAATCCCCTCGACGGTCAACAGACACAATACAAGTGTACAATCGAAACTGTGTACCGCACTCTACTTTTTGTGTCTGAAAATACCGTGGACGCATCCATCCGCAGAGCAGGTGCCAGCTATGTTCTTGTCGTCAGCAATAAGTACGGTATGTGGATATTGACCGAGGGAGATTTCACCTGGGTAATGGATTGGTATTTCTGGGCTGCAGATTGGCAGCAGCGGTCAGAGGTCGCAGGCACCGGGGCCTACGGTTTCCTATTGGTACCGGGTGCTACCACTTGGCCCGCCGTTCCTGGTTCTCCATCATGAATGTCATGAAAACCTTGCTAGACAGTGGACAGATGACGGGCGCCGCTTTCCAGTCGCAGGATTCAAGTCCCACTAGAGAGATGCGCGCAAGAGCACATCCTGACCGGATGAACGGGAAAAACCTAGGGCACTGCAGTCCCTGCAGTAACTACGGCCGTTTGACTGCGCCAGACCAGGTCTGTCGTGCCATCGACTAGTGTAGACTGTGTGTACCGGTTTACTTTTGGAGTACTGGAATTTTTGTCAGTGCGTATATGTGCGTGTCTGGTCTGAAGTTGGGTTCCTCACTGCCGCTTTCCATGTACCACACAGGTCCTGTGAATTGACCTTTTGTTTGTGCGACTAGCGGCAAGACCGTTTCGATTGTCGAATTTGAAGTCTCGTGGTACCGGGGTCTGGCTCGGGATTGGCTATCTCTTGGACGTGCCGAGCTTGACGAAGGGTTTAATGGGAAATGAATCTTTCTTGCGCTTCGTGCTCTAGCTCATTGCTCTTAGCGCGAGCTTTCTTCTTGCCGAGTGGGTCTTGTTCGTCTGGTCCACAGATCTCGTTTGGAGATGGATCTTCATTCCGTATGGTTCTGACTGCTCGCTACAGGATTTTGCCAGCTCTGGACGCGCAGTTGTTGAAGAAGCGCAGTGGAGACGTGCAGAAATATCTCGAGAGCTGATGAACAATGTCGTGCAAATCGATTGTCAAGGGCCAGCTTTCACGAGAGTTCCTTATACGACATCAGAGTGTCTGTCGTTGGGTACAGAGACCATTAAAGATGTCAACTTTTATGTCAGGTAGCACACATTGGGCATCGACGTGAATGATCAACGTGGGTCTCGACCGAGTTGATTCGGTGCGTAGTCTGTGAGCTTTCCTTGGCTAATATAATTTGGAGTCAAACTCTGTTCGGAGTGGCTATTTTGTTTGAGTAGCGACTGAAGTCAATCGGAGGACCATCAAATGCTGATAAGAGTAGGAGTTGCGTTGTTCTTCCACCCCTGTTGAGAGCATCTGTGATTTGGAGTTCGGAGTCCCAACAGCTAATATAGTCGTGTTGCCTGTGAGTTTCTGAATGTCGAGATGATAAATCCAGCTAGGATGGTGTAACTTGGAATTCTGCTAGTCATATATTAAGAAGCTGTACCTTAACGGCATCCAACATAGCTAGGAGTGGATGCTGTAGAATGAGCTGCTTTCCAAGTCAGTCGTGTCAACGGGTTTTAAATTCGCGTTCATCAGAGGAGTTTCAGTTTAAGGAATGAATGATTTGAGTTCGTTTGACATCACCGTTTTCGGATGTGCTTGCCAGATTTTGAAACTTTACACAACTCGTTGTGTGAGTGGGGAAATTCAAACAGCCTCAACGGATCAAATTGTCCACTCTTCTGGAGTATTCTTCTCAATAGTTTTATCTTTCTCACAATATAACTGGTTCTAATGGGCGGCGGAGGCAAAGCTTGGAAAGAGTCTGGCATCCTTGCTTTAATGGGCGATTTAAGTTCAGGGTAGTGTCAAAAAGTTGGAAGCTGTGCTCGCGATTGAAATTTAAGAAATGGAGGAGGACGGGAGCTCTTCTTTCAGCAGTCTAGAGGCATATGCGAGGGCTTTGAGGAAGACACCACACAGATTTTGGGAAAGAGCTGGTGTAGTGAGTTCGGTAGAGGCTGAGCTCACAGAGGTTAGATCTCTTTCTGGAGTGGCAATGAGACGGCGGTTGGAATGGTATGAGGTCGTGGGAATGGGTGTGGGTGGCATGGTTGGGGCGGGGATTTTCGTGACCACGGGTAGTGTCGCGAGAAATAATGCCGGCCCAGCAGTCATTTTTTCTTATCTTTTAGCGGGCTTTACGGCGCTCCTCTCCGCCTTGTGCTACACAGACTTTGCCGTGGAGCTGCCAGTTGCTGGAGGAGCTTTCAGCTACTTGAAAATTACATTTGGTTAGTAACTTTTACCATCACTTACTTCTACGACATGCTTTGAACATCTATTTTGTTTTAGTACTTTCGAGTCCATTGTGTGCATGTGAGGGAAATTCTTACTGTGCGGTCTTATTCTTTACTCTGGTTGTGGACATCAAACTTTACATAGCACAAACTAACAAGCCATTCTCAAAAAGAGAAAAGCTTATATTTTCCAGATTAGGAATTATTATCAGGCAGTATTGTAACGCTTCTTAAGAATTTCCTCCAAGTTCGTGGTTTTCTTTTGTTATTTAACAGCTTTTTCTTTCTTCAGTGTAGGAACGTAAACGATTTTGTAGGCAGGAATTTGAGAACTGTCTGCTTCTGACCTCTGGACGACAATGCAGGTCATCGAAGTCGATGACCTAAAGAAGTCGTCGATTAATGTATGCGAGAGTAGAAATTTATTGGAAACTCTTCTGAGACAAGTGAATTTCGTAGGGATAATTCACAAAAACCTGGGGTCGACAATTTGCAAATATTGACAGACTAAATCTGAAGGCTTGACACTATTGGTTATGAACTCGTTCCTGTTGTCATATTTACAAATGCGAAGCAGGTGATCAAAATGAAAGTCTTGACGAACCTGGTTTGTTTTGTGCTGTAAAGATATTGAGTGACATTGGGTACAATGGCCCACCAGAGATGAATAGTTCGCTGGTCGTTCAAGCCTCATAAATTGATTGGGGTTAAGTGTTGAGATTGTCTGAAAACATCATGTTGTGTAATATTTGATTATTGAAGTTCTTTATGGTGTAGTTTACGTCTTTGCATGTCTCTGTAATGTGGCATCGAACTCTGTTTGAAATTCCTGTTACTTGACCGACCTATCATGCTTCAAAATAAATAAACCAAACACATATTGAAATATTATTGTTGAAATGAAGCAATCTTTAACAGCAGATTTGGATTTTTTCTCAATGGTTTGTCATTAAGGCTTATGTATGTCTTTTCAACTTCATCAGGTGAATTTGCCGCTTACTTTACTGGAGCGAACTTAATCATGGAGTACGTCCTCTCGAATGCTGCTGTAGCACGCACATTTTTATCATATCTTGTTTCTGTCTTCTCATCACGAGGCGCTGATTCCTGGAGGATCAAGGCATCAGGATTAGCAGATGGATTCGATCACCTCGATTTTGCATCCTTGGCTCTTGTTGTAATTATTACGACCATTCTTTGCTACAGGTTACTCTCGTGAACTTAGACATCTTGATGAATTTTGATCATAGTTCTTAAAGGAAAGGAAGTTTACATTGACTTTTCACTTAATGCTTTCTTCATTCTAGCAGCACCATGACTTTGATTGTACTCTTCTTTTGTTAGTTGGAGTGGAGGTGTCTTTATTGATGACAGACTTCAAGCCAGTACAAGGTTACACGAAAATTTTAATAAGTCGAAAAGTTCAAACTGACCTGCTTGTATTTGTTCAATATGTTTCTCAGCACAAAACACGGTGCAGTTTTCAACCTGGTGGTAACGGTCATCCATATGATATTCATACTGTTCATTGTTGTGGTCGGATTTGCCGAGGGAGATGCCAGGAATCTGATTGTGCCCGGATATACGACCAGTGCTGGAGGAATAAGCCCGTATGGACTGCAGGGTATTTTCAATGGAGCTGCTATCGTCTACTTTAGCTACATTGGGTATGATGCAGTCTCCACAATGGCCGAAGAAGTGAAAAATCCAAGTAAGACGATGCCCATTGGGGTCGCTGGCTCGGTTATAATTGTGACAATTATCTACAGCTTGATGGCAACATCCATATGTCTACTCCAACCATATGATAAAGTGAGGGGTGAAGCTTTTTTCCTTACTGTGAGAAAATGATTATCTTCTGCTATAAATCCTTGATAAAAAGAAGCTTTTAAATTGCCTGCAATTGATTGGAAACCACCGACACTGCTGGTTGGGCGGTGTCATAATAAAAGAAATGCAAGGAATCATACATAGTTCTCATTCGATTCCAGGTCTGTAGAAAGCAAACTTAATCCTGCAAAACTTATGGGTAGAATTTAAGTTCCTGAATGACGATGTCGTCTTCCATCGATGAGATAATGACAGAAATGTCCTTTTTTGGGAGCTTCCGGGCTGCATAAAAGTTTTGAACTCTGTTGTAAAGAAACATGTTTGTTTTCTTTTTGTGTTACCAATTTTCTCTGTATTATCGGAGCTCGAGCATTTCTCGAGACGAGATAGTACTAGGAACTATACCAGCTTTTATTTTCTTTGCACTCATATGCGTTTCTTTTTTATAAATGCAGATTGATCCAGACGCACCATTTGCAATGGCCTTCAAGGGCTTGGAAGGCTGGGAATGGGCTGCTACTTTTGTCGGGGTGGGAGCGAGTTTGGGCATTCTTACATCTTTACTGGTGTCGATGTTGGGCCAAGCACGTTACTTGTGTGTTATAGGCCGTTCTCACGTTGTGCCTTGTTGGTTTGCTAGGATCCATCATGGTACTGGTACTCCAGTCAATGCCACAGTATTTCTTGGTACGTACTCTTCGCAAAATTTACGATCAGATGACAATATTTGTTCTCAGTTCATAGTTGTTTAAGTGTCTTCATGTGGATAGTCACGGTTGTCCTTTGTCATTATAGGTCTGTATAAGTCCTCATATGCTCGTTGTATTGTGTTGTTCTCACCCAATTTTGGACTTATCGAGAATCTGATCCTGCTTTGAACATGTAGGTCGTCTGGATTGAAGTTAAACGACCGTATTTACATGTTTAGTTTAACAAGGACAAGCATATGATTTTGAGCACTGTCCACTTGAATAAAAGTTGATCATACTGTATGTTTGTGATTTCTCGCAGGATTATGGACTGCGATAATCAGTCTCTTTACTGATCTAGAAGTACTCCTTAATATGGTGTCAATTGGCACACTTTTCGTATTCTACATGGTGGCAAATGCCTTGGTTTTTTACCGACATGTGGGACAGAGAAACAGGAACTTGTCTGCTACACTATGTTTCCTGGGTCTTCTAACGACATGTTCCCTCGGTTTTGTGATTGTCTGGAGTATGAGTCCTGGTTGCTGGTGGGGCCTGACACTTTTTGGGGGTGTTTCAGTCATTATATCTATCATATTTTACTGCTCGGTTCCACTCGTATCTCATGAGCCACGAGACTGGGAGTTACCAATGATTCCTATCGTTGCATCCATGTCTATATTTCTCAACGTTTTCCTTCTCGGCTCAGTGGAAGCGGCTGCATACAAAAGGTTTGCACTCTGGAGTGCTGTAGCTGTGGCTTACTATATGCTGTATGGTGTTCATGCAACACATGATGCAGCGGAGAAATTAGGTAACAAAGGTACGTTCTTGATAATAGAAAACATCGAACTAGACATGGAAGTGGATGGGAATATGGACATGGAGGGTAGACCTCTTGAGCCGATGAAAGGGAAGTCTTAGTTTTTTTTTTCCTACACAATGAATCTTTCCACTTCCTGATGAACATATCTTTTCGCTCAGTTTAGATTCAGACGGAAACTTTCCAAGTAACCTCACGGCTGAATGTATAAACATTGTGAGGATGGGACGTTAGCTTAGTATACTGTAATATAGTCGACAGTGTAGATTCAAAATCAATGACGGAAGTAAAATGTAGGAATTCCAGCTTTCAGATTGTACAATATTAGATACTCTTTACATTTTGCTATTGTCTTTTAGTCAAATTGCTGTCAGAGTTTACTTACTAATGGCATTCATGGGCTTTCAGTGCCTGTTGTCAGGATTTGAGTTGAAAGGCGTGATTAGAACAGTATCCGTTCGTAAAGAAATGAAGCACAAGGCCTCCTGCCCTGGACCAAGAATAGATAGTAAGCTGTAAGACGGGAATGTTGCATCCTGCTGAGCGGAGCCATTCATTCGCAGATTCTCCTGTCCGCTGTCCTTACAAACAACACTACTAGCCATAGCACAAAGTTGCCTCACGAAATCTTTCAAAAGATTCATGATGCCGCACGGGCACACGTGAACTTGAAGCCTCACTTTTGTAGTTCCGCGACAGCCTTCTTCTCCTGTGCCATCTTTGCCGACTCCTCTCCTGACTTCGCGTTGATCTAGAATCAGCGTCTGCTTTTCTCTGAGTCTTTCATGGAAGGTACTAACATGAATAAATTACGTTAAGTCGACACACAAACGCGTAAAACATGGAGTCACCCCCTTCTCTACTGCACGACATTCACATGTTTCAAAGAGAGGTGGTATTCATTCATGGTTTATCTCTCAAAAGCTGGGCTTACTAACACAAGAGATAAGCAGTTGAAGGTCAATGACATGGAGAGAAGAAAACAGACTAAGCTATGATGCTCCGGAAAAGAAGCAATACACCCCGATCATGAAGCTCTCCTGTCCAGAAGTATACTCAATCAAGCAAGCGATGAATTTTGGAATGTATTACGAAGGTAACTTGGAATTTTTAGTAAAAATTTGTTATCTTTGTTTCTCGATGTACCATGTTGGACCAGTTTCTTTTTAATCCTATTGGGGAATCTATTTCAATTTCAATTATATTTTATGTGTTGTGTTGTACATGTAGACGTGATTGAGTGATACAGTCTATAGAAGAGTAAAGTTCAGATGGTGATTCTTTGAATGTCTCAAAAAGTCTGTATACAGTTTGCGAGAATATCATTTAGTCAATGGTTTATGATGCCATAGATGTTTAGCCCATCTTACTCGCTTTCATCCCTGCACAACTTGTGTGATCTTCCAATTTTTTTGTACATTACTTTTAAGAAAGAGATAAAGTGTTTACATCAAGGAAATATCTGTAAATGTCAAGGAAGTAGCATCATGATGTTAGAAAGAAAGCGGAACAACAAAATATAACAGGAGGAAGGAGGCCTCTCGAGCTTTCGCGCCGTATTTAGTATTTAGCCTTGAGTGGTAGTATGAGACTTGGTCACAATTCGAACTCTGCATCTGACGACATGCCGATGAAATCATTCAGTGTGAGATCTCGAGATTACAACGAATTGGGAGAAAATCACAAGTGGGAAAGCACATGAGGCCAAGCGGTTCCGGGTTTTAGCCAAAATAGCCAAGGTGCGAATACAATGCTCTTCGCAATGGATGCAGCCCCACAGATTGAGGAAAAACTGGACGAACTTCAATAACTTCAGGATGATGGTCCCCATTTGATCCGAATAATGTACATTTTGAATACCTTGAAACTTGCAGTTTTGGCAAAGGGCTTTAAATCTTCGTATATGTGTGTACGATGTTCTTGTGGAGGAGCAGGAAAGTACTATTATTGCAAGAGAAGAAAAGAGTACACCTATAACATTTTATACAAGCAAACATATGATAATCTAGAGTCAAAGTTTTGTTTCGATTTGATTTGAATCAGATATGTTGATATTATATACCTTTTACTCATAAAAACCTAGACGCATCGCAATAGTAGAATTTATTATAATATTATTTTGAAGAAAGAAAAATTATATATCTAAAAAATTTATAAATAGATGAGATATGAATGAAATAATTAAATAAGTTATGTAAAATTTAACAACATCTTGATATATATGAGTATTTTGATAATGAAATTAGTCAAATGGGAAGATAATCTTATAATTTATTAATTTTTTGGGTTTTTATAAATAAAAATTCAATATCAATATTGATAAAATAGAAAACTAGAATTATTATTTTATTCTAATATTTTTTTATAATGAAATTTTTTTTTGGAATCAAGTGAAATAATTTTTGATCAAAAAATTCATTTAAGTTTATACTTAATTTATTTTCAAAAAAATTATTAATGAAAATATCTCTATATAAATTTAAATCTTAATTTAAATGAAATATTTATAGAATCTACTTGATAATTATTTTTTTTCTTTATATTTTAAATTTTAACGTATTTATGTTGATGATAATGTAGTCCATGTTAAATTTTGTGCTCATGTGTTTATATTCAATTAATTTCAATTATCACTGTCTACAATGAGTATTATGTTGTAGCTAAGATCTACATTCGAATGATAAATTGTCCCAAATATTCAACACAATAATTTTATGATTGTTTGCAAAGACTTCTTCTATGTTGTAGACTAAGATCCTAAATTGTGTCTCTATGTTTTTGTCTCATAGGGTTTATGCTAGATCTCTTATAAAGCACTGACTAACTCACTTATCTAATCATGGTTAAAGTGATTAAAATTACTCAGTACTTATATTAACTTCATTGGAAAAATAAAAAATTTGTAAATATTACTATGTAACTTGATATATATATATATATATATATATATATTGAAATTTTACATATAACCTATTGAAGTAAAAATTTGGGATTTTTGGCTGAAATATTAAAGACATATAATCATTAAATGTATATATATTTCTTTTAAAAATTGATTTTTATGTTATAAAATTACATAAATTTAGAATTTAGAAATCTGAAATGAAAATGATGAATCATATTGGTTTACTATGTTGAAATATTTTGGATGAATATTGATGAATTACAATGCAAAGTATACCTAAGCTTGGTTCACTATAATGGAATTCATCATTTTGATCTTTCATATTATGAATAATTCATCCAATACCAATTAAAAAATTAAAAAAATGGAAATATAGCTTACTTCTGATATCTAGTAAAACAATAAATATCTTCAAGAAATAAAAAAATTCAATACTTAGACTTTATTGAAATTTTTGTTAAAATTGTTAATATATTTTGAGATATAATTATGAAAACACATAAAATTATGTGTAGATCTGAAGTGCAATATGTATGTTAAAGATAAAATTGTGATTATATATTATACATCTCATATTCAGTAGAATATTTTTTTTAATGAATAATTTATAAATTAATATATATAAATTAAAATAAATAAATTCAAGATTAAACTCATGGATTGGAAGAAAATTAATTACAAAAAAATCGTACTAAAAATATTTAGATTTTTTTTTTGATATCAAGTCAGCTAAGAAATAAAATATGTATTTATTCAACTAACTCATTGAAAATATTATATTTGAATTTTTTAGTATTAATTCAAATTGTTTTTAAAAACTACACAAAATTTTTATTTTTGTGTAGTCTTGATGCACCTATTATGTATACTTGAAAATAATTCATAGAATATTATTTGGAAATTAATTTTTGATTATAAAAGTATTTCTTATAAATATATAGCTGTTAAGTATTTGATTGGATTCTGTTGTTACATTAAGAGACAATAGATAGTTTGCACAAGATAATATATGAGTTGATTTTCATTTTTTGTAATGAAAATGATGTTCAAAATTTGACTATTGAGATATTAATGAAACTTTTACCCGTAACACTATTCACGGTTAAAAAAATATAATAATAAATAAAACGTAAGCCTAAAAATATGACATAATTTCAAGTTTGATCTTATGTCATCCAATTGATAAACAACACATATATATTATAAACGATTGAGTCATGATAAGAATTTTAAAAAATGAAAAAATTCATATAGATGTATATAATTATTTCAAAATGAAGCTTGTACTTCTATACATTTTTTTTAAAACGCAAAATCAACAGACTAATCTGGGCTAAGAAATGAATTATGTGCTGAAAGTTAATCATGACTAGTGACAAGTTCTAAAGATTTTTGAAATACCGTAATATAATAAGATTATCATGTACTAGTGGTATAAAGTTTTTTATGCTGGGATATATTAGCAGTAACATTGCATAATTCACATCGTAATGCTTTTGGGATCAGCCACATGGTATCTTTTGCTTTCATCCTTGATTTCATGGGGTCCTTGTTATATTATTTCGCACCGTTCTTCAATGGCAAGGAACGAGAGATAACTACGACATGCATGTATGGTGTTCATTTAGATTCAGATGATATTGGGTTATAGAATAGGTACAAGTAGCAAGCAGCACACTGTTATTAGGGAATTTAAGGAGTTGGATTCTCATGGAATGCTAGGAACTTGAGATGTACGTGTGCTATGTACTTTGTTCCTGTTCTCGTCTGACAGTTATGCACAAGAGTACTGCTTGGCTCGTTGCGGTATGGCAGGACCACTTTGTTCCTCTCTATCTCAATCATGATAGGTGACATGGGCAAGTGCTTTACACCTTCACACCTTTCAGAAGCTGAAGTCGCTGTTATGAAGAATCATCATCATCATCTTAGTCTCGAAGACCAGAACCGTAAAGTTCCTCAGGTGATTAGAAGTTTCAGATGGGCCCAACCTGCACTTTCTGAAGTCATGCTTTGTCGTTTGGACACAAGACTAATGAACGAAACGTGAAATATTTGAGTAAAGGAAGCAGCTACAATTTGCCGAGCAAGGTAGCGTGCTTCACGGAGAAGGAAAGTGGAGTGATTTTAAGTGCAGCTCCGTCTAACTTCTGAGCTCTTGAATCTGAAAATCTGTGCATCTTTCCGTAATGTTTGTCCTCCTCCGTGTGACATGTACTGGCTTCTTCAACAAAAACGTTGATGATCGAATGACAGTATAACTAGTGCCATGTTTAACTGGTTGACGATGCAAATGATACATACTTAACTGATCAATAGTAAATGACAACACCTAGTAAGTTGACCGTGTTCGCCACTTCTCTATCGTACATCACCCAAGTTGATTGAAATTAGTACTGATTTGGCCCATATGATATATAATAAGCAAGTTATAGAATCAATTGTATTAATTTTCTCTTTGTATAGAGCTATGAAACTCTACAAAGTCAAACAAACAAGTACGTCTATTCAGATCAT